ATCCACCTCTGGTTTTCTACACATATACACACCAAAATCGAAAGAACACATCATCCTTCTGCAGGGCGAAAAGAAAGAAATTATGCTTGAAATAAACACATGCTGGTTTTACAGTACAGGATGATCTCATGTGAGTTTACTCTTTATGCAGCAATGGAAGAAAGTAGTACATTCTGATAGGACATTGTGGTTTATGCAGTCAGACAGAGCTGCAGAAATAACCGGATTGTTCGACTTTACGAGTGGAACCAAAGAAACCTTTGATGGTTTTACAAATCAGCAAACTGGAAAATTCGGTATGCTCCAAAATAACCCCTAAATGTTACAAATGTTTAGTGGATGCTGCTTTACAATCCAATAAACAATTCTACAATTTACATTTTGGAGTATTTGTTTTATTTTGACAAGATAAGGAAGGGCAAGTATACATGTGTTAAAATATGATTATTAAGTGTTTTCTTTTTAGATGACACATTTTGAAAGAATTCAGTCCTTCTTTCAGTCACAAAGTGAAAACTGATTACTTGATCATTCAAATGGCTCCACGCCTCTTCTATGCTACAAACTCTGGGAGCTGGAGGCTCTCGTGAAGCAAAAGCTTCTTCATATTATGAGCTCAACACAAATCCATCCAAATGAGTTTAACATGAATACATCTCGATTTTCACAGTAAACATGGTGCTTCGTTGGACTAACGTTGACTTGGCAGTGGAAATTTCCGGTGCTTGATAAGTTGTCCTTGTGACCTCCCCCAACACTCCCCTCCGGGAGAACAGCTATGTAGTCTTGGAGCTAATATTACGTTAATTTAGGTGTTTGTCTGCTCAGCTAAAGGTCGCACATGTATGTTTTTGACCAGAAGTCTGTGGCATCCAGTGTGGAGATCAATTTTAAATTGCAAAATGCCCCAAACTGTCATAAAATAAGTGCACAGTGATGACTTGCTAATCATTGAATCCTCTCCACCCCAAATACTCCCTAAAGTTGCAACATTAAATAAGATCTTGTTCTTGTTCAGGAGAATTTGATCACTTAGTTTCCTCGGAGAGAAGAATGATCCTGCACAAAACACATGTGCTCATGTGAGAGATAAAATCCTAAGTCTCGTTGTCTTATCACAGCGAGGGAGAAGAGCAATGCAGTATGCTAATAACTATCACATCTTATCCGGGCACTTGGGCCAAGAAAAAGCATGATGTTAAAATGGTTGACTTGTACAGACGTTATTTACTGTCTGGTGCTGAGATGAGTCAGTTTAATGTTTCATAACGAAGCAACGTTTTTACATTTCATTTTACTACAAATTCAGTTTTTTTTGAAGAAGGTGGACAGAACGCAGTCTACCGGGATTTATTCATCAGTCACATTCTTGTAGCAGATAATACAAATGTATTCAAACATTCAGCCTTCTGTTAGCCTGAATTATGGGGATCATTACTTGAAACACACTTTTTATTAGTCATTACACTAGACTGACTTGTTACTGTCCTTTTTGACACCTACTTAGATGCATTTTTGTCTATTTATTGTTTCTCCATACAGCCTTTATTAGTCTTTGCGGTTCACTGTGGTCAGATGTTATGATCCAACGTGACACCCAGAAGCAGATTTTAACAGACACCCACACTTGTTATGTGATGTGATCAGTGATCCTGCAAAAATACAAAGATGATGTCATCCATTGTGTTGTTTATTTCTTTCTTCTCTTGCATCCTTTATTTCTCCATCCACAAACAAATCCCAGATGTTTCAAGGGTCTTTGTGTTTTTTATCATTCTGCGTAACAGAGTGCTCCACATAAACTCCTATACGTGGCGTCTAGCCGTTCTCCCGGCTCAGCGAAGAAAGAGAAGAAGGAAGTTAGTGTTTAAAGAAGAAATGATGCAAAACAAATAAATCGCCAGATGGAGTAAGAGGAGAAGGAGAAAAGCCCACACACAGCAGGAAGAATGGAAGACATAAACAGTGAGAAAATATAGTCCAAAAAGACGACGACGTTGCTTCCTCGTCCAAAGATTGATCAATGCTTGGTTGTCTTCGAAGTGTCGCCTGCCGAGCGTGGACTCATTCAGCGCTGCACTCTTTTAACGGCAGGCATTCAGTGATTAAATAAGAGTTAAGTTTGTGGCCTCGGACATATGGGATCATCCACTTTGTCTAAACAGTCGCATCCCCAATGCTCCTTTTAGCTTGCACATGATGTCTTCCGATGCGTTTTCCTTCTGTGATGGATTGCGGCCGGGTAGAGAAGCAGGGGACATTGACTGGGAACCGGTCTCCTCTCGTCAGAACAGCGTGGGACAAAAAGCAGAGAACCAGCGTTGATTGATAAAACATTTACGCCAGTTAGCTGGATGGTTACAATAAATGAAAACTTCTCATTCTCCACCAAGAACAGAACAGAGTTCAGTATCAATTTACTCCTTTGACCTTGTTGGAGTCTGCTTCCAAACCACTGAGATCATCCCTGTTTCTTGCCCCTTGATCATTGCAAGTCTAATTTTCACTCCTCTTGTGGCTTTGGTTCTCCATCTGCTCTTGAGGGAATTATTTGACTCTTTAGCAGCTAAATGCTCCGTTGTCTTTAACTTTGTCTGTCGGCTGTTAAGTGCTGCAGGAAGCCCCACAATTGGCTTTCAGAGAGTTTGTTTGACAAACGCGAGCACACCAGAAACTGTTTAGAGAGTTGATATTTTAATCCTGGGGAAGGAAAGCAGTCACCATTCACAACATATACCCTCGGTGACAAAGGCTGGAAATGCAGTTTCATCGGGCTTGAAAGCATACAATTAGAATGAAATACAGCGACATCCGGATAGATGTCCTACCTCCCAAGAAGCCGTGGTATGCTTGAAGGGATGTTTTCATTCAGTTGGATGGTGCAAATTGTACAGAAATGAACCGTGCCCGAGATTGTGTAAGCTCTTTTTTTTTTAGTAATGATATCCAGCACGGACAGTATTTTTTAAAAACACAACAAAGGCCTTGCGACTCCGCTCCCTGACAAAAATAGCAATGATCACACGTTGTGCTTTCATCATAGATTTATTTTGACATTTACACAGTACACAGGCGCCATGAACATGTCTCAAGTTCAAGAGTCAAGCCGGCTCTTTAAAGAATGTGTTTGAAGCATTTTAACAAGGCGCTCGTCCTTCATCTCCTCGCTGGCAGGAGACAGCTGGCCCTGGCACAGACCGACATCACCCCTGGGCGAGGGCGCACACAAACACACACTCACACACAATGCACGAGGTTAGCTTTGACAGAGGAAGAGCGTTTTGCACCTCGGAAGACATTGCGCCCGTTACATCGCTGTACCAGTTTGCATCCGAAGCCTCTTTTTACTTAGCTTAAAACAGTTGTTCTGTTGCAAGTGCTCTCCAGCTATTTTCAAGTGTTTGGCAGTAAACAAAGCCAGTGCAGAGTGGTGGTCCTAATATGGAGCTGTTTCACTCCGTGTTGTCTGAGGAGAAGAGAGGAGGGAAGAAGGACAGCGCAAGCGGCAGTATGTTGAGGAGCGGGGATCACCGTCCTGTGGCTCTGGGAAATGCCACAGAATGCCACCTGCTAGCGGTTGAAACTATTTGTTGGGGGAGCTGTTTTGTGTCAGAACGGCCAACCGGTTCATGATAGCAACAAGTGGTAGAGAGTGGTGGGAATCTTCGCTGCTACAAGTAAATATACAGAAGCACCGCAGCGCAAAACAATAACAAAGAGTTAACCTCAAACCAGACAGCAGGAGCTCGATGAGGATTCATCACGTGGCAAACAAATCACACAACAACCAATTGTTTGGTCATAAGCCAAGGTGAAGACTTGACTGCAGAAAATGTGGTGCTGGAGAAAAGAAAAATGTCAAGGTCGGGTCACCAAAGGCTCTTTTTGAGATATTTCCTTCCTGAAGATGTATTATTTGCCTGTTTCAACCTACTGCGCTTCTGTGAAGCGATGCGGTCCAGATGATGGGTGGCACATTTCTAGGAAACAACTGTTGTCGAGTTGACTGAGGCTTTGGAACAAGACTGCTACTATTTGCAGCCACAAGGCTGAGGGCGTGACACCTCACACAATCAGGCGGGGGAGTTCTTTGCCACCCAGAGGGCCGATGCCCTGCTTCTCCCTCTTTCAATCTCTCTCCACCTAAAGCGGCATCAACACACAAATTGTCTAGATATATGAATAGTAATGTGGACATTATTGCAACATTAAGATGGATGTATATTAGGGATGCAGAGATCCAACTTTTTCAGTCCCAAACACGGCCAAATCAACCCGATTTCACGTGGCTTTTTACATGTCAGTCAATGCCACGTTGTTTACCTTAATGGCCGTGGTGGCGTTCAGGCCTGTAGGTTGGTTTAGTAGGTTTTTCCCGAGTGCTTAATACCCGTCAAAGACTTCACTATGCAACGCCACAAGTTGAGAAAGTATCGAGGCTACGCGGATGCGTTTACATTGCATTTAGGACAGACAACATGCGGTACAAATGAAGTGAATGAAGCAAGATGAAGGATTGGGCACCAATACTGCCGATCATTGGTTTCTTTGATCAGCTGTATACCTCACCGTGTGGATAAGACAGGGATCATTCTTTGTGTTAGTTAACGTCAGCCTCAGTTTTCTATCTTCTCATTTTGAATTTGTGGTGATTGGACCTGGGCTTGGTCAGCGTTTGTATCTGCTTTCTTTCTCGGACAGTAGAGAGATACTCCAATTCACCAATTCATCATCCCTTTTCAGGGCCAAATAATACATCTCTACAATCTGCATTTGCTCTTAGTTGATGTTTTCTAGTCTTTACACCCCGTTATCGTTTGATTTAGTCCAATTGGTGTTTGGAGAGCATTGTTGAGTGTCTCTCTCTCGGCCCCAAAAGGCCGGCAAGCAGCACATCCTGGAGGAGGTCCATTGTTTTAACAGAGGGGGGACCGGTGCAGGGTTACAGCCCTCCTACACGTGTACACGAGTGTGTGTATGTGTGTGTAACGCTAAACCAGACACAGACTTGTGGCTCCTTCGAGGACTAGCTTTACCCTCGCTCACGGTCGGACTCTCACCCCTTCTCTCCGCTCACATTCTGAGCATTATCCCGCTGAGTGGGTGAAAAGCAAGTGAGGCACAGCAGCCGGAGAGAGAGAGAGAGAGAGAGAGAGAAAGAGAGAGAGAGATTGGAGGAGCAGCCAGTTGCTCGTTCTTCACTCCAGGCTCTAACTTTAAAGGCAGCCATGCAGATTTTCTTGGCTTAGACGCAGCGCCCATGACAGGATTAGGATCCGGGGACGCGGGATCAACCGGAGATCTGCAGGTCCGAGTGGATGAGTTTGAGCCAGATTCTCTCCCTGCACAGGTAGGACAGACACCTTCACGTTGAACCAAAGTGCATTAGCTCTGTCTATCTTCATGGGATTTTTCATCTGATCAGCAGCTGCAAATCCCCAGACCTTCGCGATACAATAAACAAGATTACTTGTCTTGGCCAGCATTGCTTGGCACCGCAGTTTAGTTTCCGGTGACAAAATCAAATTCCCTTAAGGCTCTGAAGAAGACCGCAGTTTATTGGTTATTAGGCTGCAGAGTGGGTCGAAACGTCTGCCTCCTTTCTGAAGGTTTTGAATGACTTCACTTTTTCTTTTCCATTTACAACTTCCTCATGTTGAAAGCTTACTTAAGTGATTTGAAGATAAGACACGTCCAAACACTTTGTTCAGTGTCAACAGCGCATTCCGTAAATGATACAATGTCGAATATGTGAATGAACTATTTCTATTCAAAAAAGCTATTAAATTCATCACTATGTAGTTGCATATTTAGCCAACTCCAAATTTGAGTTTGGAGTAGTAGAAGTTGGCCGGAGTTTATAGAGGGTCAATGCACCCTTATGTTGTTAAATCGCATATTTTGAACAAAGACAACATGCAATGGCTAATTTTAGATGTGTCCTTGCTGCTTTTGCTATGTAACTGACCGGTGTTCCCATGCACCAGTCTGCCATGTCATTGGGCGTTATGTCGCCTCTGTAACTTACATACAGAGTCAGGCACCTCTTCTGGCAAAGTGATGGGTTAAGTTACTCACTTGGACCCTCCTTGTACTGTCTCTGGACAATCATGCCCACTTTATGACTTATTTTCACTGAAACATTGACAGCACCTGAATTCAAGATGTTGGCATAGCTGCGATTCAGGAGATTTGTCAGTCAGCTCCTTTCTGTACAGATTTCCCAAATTAGAGGGTGTAAGATTACCAGAGTCAGACAGAGTAAGCATGTCGAGTTTCTGGAGCACTCCAGATTTCTGCAGCACAGTGAGGAGCAACGTGAGGTTTTCCTCCTCCATCAATAAAAAAGGGGGAACAGAAAATGCTTAACTTGCAAGTTCACTCTGAGTCCAACAAAAGCCTACTTTACTCAAATTTCTGCTGTTTCAGCTTGTCGCAGTTAAGTTTAAGTTCTCTCGTAGAGAGAGTGGGAGTGTTTGCTGTGCCTGCATGTGTGTGTGTGTGTGTGCGTATAAGTGCAGATGTGGCACCAACACAACATAATGGACACGTTGGGTGTGTGTGTTTTTGAGCTCTGTTTGAAAATGTTATGGCTGGTTTTTTTTTCAGCAGATGCAAGGACCTCAAGATTTTTTACGTTATCTCAGTTTTCTAATGTTTTACTGACCAGAAAAATGTATGTTGTAAATTTGGCTCACAATTGATAAGCTTGAAACATCGCAGCTCTTCTGCACACATACCGGAGCCGAGTGTTTAGTCGTTAGATTCAAAACAGCCAAGAAACAGGGGGGAGACCCCTCTGATGTCTGCATAACATCTGCTGTAAACTGGCCGGTTGTCACATACAAACACACACGCACACGCAAACACACACACACACACACACACACACACACACACACTCATAGCAGTGGCATGGACTCAGAAACGCATGTGCACGGGTTTTGACTTCTTGGGTTACAATTCCTATTCATATGCGCCGGCTTCCAGCGAAAAGATAAATCGGGTTTCTGGAACACACACAAAAGGCACAAATTTAGCCTGTTTCAACCGCAGAGTTTCTCCCTCTGAGTCTACTACCTCTGACCCCGTGCGAGCAAGCAAAGTGCAATTTTCTTTTTCTTCCCCCCCTTCTTGCCCCTCCTCCCTCTTCTGCAGGGATGAACGTGCCTGTTTTGAATTAGGCCCGGGGGATGTGTGAGGATTGTCTCTGTCGCTCCTTTATGCGTCCGTCACCCTCCCCACCTCTGCTTCAGGATCCGAGGCTTGTTCTTAGACGCCCCCCAACACCCACCCATCTTCTATTCTTCACAACCGCTATACTGCCATTCTCTCCTTATGTTGCTTTCTTAGTTTAAAGCTGGATGCGATGTCTGTTGTATGGTAAGGAGCCACAGAGGTCGGGGCACACTTCACGCAAGAATTCGGCCCCGGAGGAAAGTAAGGTCATCTTGCCGGGAGGTTGGCTGGAGTAAAAAAGAACTTCCTCAGTTGGAAGTTCTCCTCGTTGCTTCGTCACGGCTTCTTCCTGTAATTAGCTGCCCGACAGACTTTCTGTGTGCTTCTGTGTTTTCACCTGGATTTTTTACATTTTTCTGTTAGCAGCCAAGGAGAAAAGGCCTTTTCCCTGCTCGTTCTTGCCTTTTCTCTTAAACAAAGTGGCCCCTTGTGTTTCAAGACAATTTCCTCTCAAGGTCAAAAACCATTTCCATCCCTGGTTGCCAGTCAAGAGTGATTTGAGCATAGCAACGCTTTCTTGTGGGTGGGAGGTGTTTTCAAATGTCCGGTGTGAGGTTGAACTGTTCTTTTAAAATGCGCCAACGAGGAGTGTTGCTCTTGGTTACTGGATTTTGGCCACTTAGGGACAAACAAAGCCAGCTTGTCCTGTTGTATCATTCTATAAAGTGGATTTAGCTTCGTAAGCAAATCATTTCTCATTAACACAACCAGCCTTTGTTTGGACTTGAGTTTGTGATCTGACAGTCATTCTACATTTCTCAGTATTAGTGTCCTGGGACAACAATTTCCTTTTTAGCTTACCAGCGTAAACGGCGTTTGTCTTACCTGCGGGGCATGTAACATCCGGCTATCTTATTGCCGCTATCTTATATTGTGCGATGACCCTGTGTTGGGTTAAAAATACAGATGTTCACCAGCTGTTGAGGATTCATGTCTTCTTTATGGAGTTTTAACATGATTGACATTGCAGCTAAAAACAAGGAGAACAGAGTTAAACAAATAAAAGGTAAAGAGTAGATGGTACAACTACTAGTATTTATATTGCATCAGAGTGGATACATACATACATATATATCATGTATGCAATTGCTATATATGTATGTTTATACATTTACAGATTCTCCACGTTTATATGTATATAGAGATACTGTATATTTGGGTCTATTTTTTGACCCACACTCAGTTTTATATGCTGTTGGCTTTTCTTCAGTTGGTTAGAGTTGTTCTTGGGTTAACAGAAGCACAGCGATTAGAAAACTGAAATCGAACAAATCCCCCCTATTTTCCCTTTGACATAATATTTTATGACCCATGGAAGCTCAGCTTCTGATTTTGATCTCATCGTTGAGACTTTCCCTCGGCCTTTCGCTTTCTCCGTTCTGGCTCAGTGGTCTTCCTAACATCTGTATTCCTCTTAAGGCCAGGGAGTGTCTCCTCTCGCTGTATGTGGGCTGCGATGGTTTTAGAGGGCAACATGTCTGTGTTTCCTCCGGTCGCCGGAGGTTACCCGTCTGAGCCACGAGGCGGTTTCGGAAGACGTCACTCTACTTCAAGTTATTCTCTCTCTTTTTGGACATTTGCATTAATATACTGGTTAATTGTGTTTTTCCTTTTCCCTGCTTCACACTCATTGGCGCTTATAGAGGGTTAGCTGTAGTTCTGGTAACTTCCTGTCTCCATGGCGTCCAGTGAAGTCAAGCCAAAAGCACACAATTGTGTAAAGAGTGCGAGAAAAGGAGTCCGGTTTCAGGTGAAGACTGAAGCTGGTACAACAGGGAGACACACGATGTTCTGGCGGACCGAAGCTCTAACGCTACACTCCCCGCACGCGGTGCCCGAAACAAATTCTTCAGCATATATTCAGAGGTTTGTTTTGATTGAGAGCACTCTGGCGCTGGGTACTTTTGATCCCTTACTTGTCTAAAAGACTGTTGCATAAATTGTTTTGGTTTAAAGAGCCATTACAGAGATTTACGTCTAATCCCCGGATAATGATTATTCCATCTCAGACACAATGATGTAGTGTTTTTTTAGTCCACGTTGGTCACTTAACCCCTACCATAATAGACTACATAATGACACTCTTACTGTTAAAAGTAAATCTATCTGATGATGATGATTTGTTGGATTATGGTCTCCCTGGGAAATCCACCTCATCGAGTTGGAACGTGAAAGTATTGAATATTGAGCCAGCAAAGTTAACAAAACATAAAATGTCTGATAATCATCATCCAATATACAAGCCAATCAACATGCTGGTAATGCCCTGGATTCGAGTCCTTACCAAAGTAAATAGACCGACAAAACTTTCAGTCGGGTGAAACACTAAATAAAGCTCTGAATGCTACGAATGATAAGGTAACTCATGTTATCGTGTTTTTAGACTTCATGAGCCCCCCTGCTGAGGGTCTGACGCGTCAGCGCGGTGCTGTCTGTGGTGCTGAAGCAGCAGGCGAATTTTTAATTGCGAATTTTTACTTGAGCACCGCCCATCTGTTCCTTTTCTCTTGGATTGATGATAATCTGACCAAAAGAGTTGCTCATGGGGCGACTTAGCTCAGGGGAGAATTTTTCTAGTTGCCAAAATGAGAAACAAATTGCTGTTGCACTCCATGTCTAGACAAACTTTATTCACGTTCTGGCAATGGCAACAAATAAAACAGTCTGGTAGTGTTCACAGCAATGTCCTTGGAGAAGTGCATGAACTCCTTAGGGCCTTCTGCTCAATCTTGTTGGGTTGGCGGCGACTGACCTAAAGGAGCTGAGGTTGGAAAAAATACCAGACTTGAAGGGCTAAATAAAGGCTGGTATGGGCTAGAGGTGAACCACCGGGATCCGGGAACGCCTGGTCGAGCTTGTTACAGTCCCAACTGGCATATGTCATGAATATTACGGGCTGACCCGGCCATCGCTCTCACGGGCAGAGATTTGGTGAACAGCTGTGCATGTGGAAAAGACCTCACATGCACAGCTGTTCCTGGCGGATTGGAGATGGTGCATCGATTACAGTATAAAAGCACAGAGAAAATGATAAAATGTTCTTTTTAAACGTGCAGTGAAAGCGGAACTCTTTCCTCAGCTTGCTTTAAAAAAGTGAAACTTGTCCCCTGCAGCCGAGTGTGTATCTGCTGAGCAGAACGGACAGATATCACAGGTGCGCTGTTGGGGACTGCTGGCATCACAGTGAGTCTACACGAGAGGACCAAATGACTCCACCTTAAAGCAGTTATGCAGAAACAGAGAGAGACGATGTGTCTGGGTCGGCTTTGTAACCCTCTCCATGCTTCCCACGTTAGTCCAGTTTAGTCTGGTGTGATGTTTGGACTGGCACAAGTCCGGCCCTGTGCTGAAACGCGTCTCTCATCAGCCTCCTCAGTCACAGGCACAAGAATGGGCACATTCCCCCTCGCAGTACGGACGCTGGTGTTCCTAAAAAGGGGCTGCAATCCTGTGATGGTCATGACGTTGCTGCTGATTGGAAGAGGCTCAGGTGGAGGAGGGGCACATCTGGTGCACGCTGAAATAACAACTGAAAGCAACAGAGGGAAGAACATTTTTTTAAGTGTGTCAGCATATACTGCGGTTAATTTAACGTTCAAGCCCCCAATTCGCCGATAGAGTAACCCCACGGAGAGATGGGGAACCAACAGTATTCAGCTTGTCTTGACGTTTGCTTCAGCTTCATATAAATCGAAGAGGGCATATAGATATAAATGAAGATATACACTAAAGACCGACACAATCTGACAGCTGGCGGCTGAGAATAACCTTTTCAATTCCTTTTGGGTTTGGAGTGACGGCTCAGCAGAAGCATATTATATTATGGGACGGCTGTAGGGAAGGAAACCAAACTTGAGTGTTCGCTTCATTTAAGGCGATTTACAGTCAGACAGTTGAAGAGCGGCGAATGGATTGGAAAGTGTCTCCCCTGCTACATTCCCAGCTGTTTCTATCTGTAAGTCGCCAACATGCCCAGTCTGTTGTTCACAACGGAAAGACACCATCTGCATTGACGGGCTTGTTCCACTTTGAGGGAGACTGGAAGACTGTAAGGGGGCCGCGGTTTGGTGCAGTTGGACTGAATCAGCGTCTGTGTGTGTGTGTGTGTGCGTGCGTGTTAGGTCTCTTGGCAGACCTGTGGTCTTTGCCTTCATGCCTCTGATCACAAGGGATCCATGACTCACTTCTTTAGGTTTTTTTTTTTACCAGAAAATGCAAAAGACAAAAAGCAGACGTACACATTCACATAGTAGCCAGCAGCAAGTGGTTTTGTGGGTAAAATAAATACTTTTTACCTAAAGGTCCAGTCTCCAAGTTTGCAAATATGCGGTTGGTGATAGTTTTACAGTGGGGCAGAACTAAATGTCACACAGCAAGGTTGCAAGAAACAGAGATTTAACCATCGGGGCGGTTAGTCGAAGAGACGTCAGAAAGGGCTTTTAAAAGGACAATTTGGGGAATGCCTATATTTCCTTTTCTTACGGAGAGTTTGTTGGGGTGATTGAGATGAGACAATGGACAGCACTATATGTGTTGGTTAAATAAAAAATAAATTCCAGCTGGCAGCTTGTTTTTATCTTAGCATTAAAACCAGAGACTTGAAACAGCTGGCCTGGTTCTGCTCAAATACGCCTTCCAGCACCTCTAATTAACACATATCTATTACAGTGTGTTTCATGTGGGGGGGGAAGTGGCAGACTGCTCCCCAGCTAGGACGAGATATGTAGAAAACGCAGGCTCTGGGTTTCACTCATTATGCTCAGCCAAGATAAGGTTATATTATAAACACAACCCAACTTCTCTAGATTTTTAACTCTTTGTCAAAACAATCAGTTCTTAAAATAAACTTTTTGTCGTCATTTTGTTAGGAATAATCATTGTAAGACCTTTTTTCAGACATGGTTGGCGGGAGAAAGGGGGGGGTGTGCTTAACTTCTTGTAGTTCAGATTTGTTTCTTGGCAACCTTGTGGCGACAACAAGGAAAGCAGCTAAACGTCAAGCTTTTTATTTATCCAAGCTAAAGCTGGAGCTGGATAACTACAGTAGTGGCAGATCTGTTCAACAGGCTATGTCTTGTATTGGGATGGATGAGGATGGATGTGGCATATTGAGCTGACACATTGCGTATGCAATAGGAATGTTTTTTTGAAAGGGAAACATATCTTGGAATTGAGAGAGTCATCAAGTCCAAGAGAGCAAAATGAAAACAGAAAGACGGATAGAAGAGATGGACCCGACACTGAAGGTATAGAGAAAGAGCATTCAGGTCGCTTTAGCTGAGAGTAGAACTAATTCATGGCGCGTCCCCAAAAGAAAACTGCATTTTACTGCAACCACAATTTAACCCGCAACACCTTAACAAGTAACAAATGTGTCTCTTACAAGTTCTCAGCTTTAAGCCTACAAACTGATTTTTTGTTGTTGTTGTAACTTTGCCTCTGTATCAACGCTTGCAAGCCTGCAAGTTGCTGCGCTGTGAGAAAACATTGTGTCAATAAGCAACTGTCCCACAGAATAGACAAGACTTTGTGACAAGCCACACTTCTCGTTTCTTTGTGTCTGTAATCTCGGTGGTAAAGGACGCTGAAAAAGACACAGAATATATGACAAGACAGACATTCATCAAATCAAAAATTCACATATCACGGTTTGGCTCGGGTTCATCTTTGTATTTCTTGTATTTCTATTGGAGAGACGGTGATCGGCTGCAAGCTGCCGTCCCTCCAAGAAGAAAGATTGTAGCTGACCCTTTTCACCCCAGACACTTTTATTTCATTCTATTTTTTTTTTACCAGAATCAGTGATTTTGTTTACCGTCAGCGAAATATTCTATTCTATTCTATTCTATTCTATTATTATTATGTGAACTGGCTGTTGAAGACCTTTATAAATTCACCTTTTGTTTTCCTCTTTACGCACACAGCTGTGACCGCCCCACCCCCCGGTGTCCCGCCACACCAGTCTTCCAACAGCGGCCTCCCTGTCTCTCTTCTCCACTCCCATAATGCGTGTCCTCGCCACCGTCCTCCTGTTGCTGCTGCTCAGGTCAGCCGAGCCCCGGAGGGGCCCTCGGTCGGGGGCTGCGCAGAGGGGCGCCGGGGGGCGCGTACGGGGCAGAGGCAGGGCCCAGGTGAATAGACGTCAAGCCCAGGAGTGTAAGGAGTACATGGAGGCAGGCGAGAAGTACCTGGACTGTCAGGACAGGCAGTTCACCACCGTGATGCAAGACTGGCCCAAAGATATTCACCACCTGCTGTTGGCAAAAAATAAGATTCAGGTTTGTGCAGCATTTTAGAGAGTCAACACGTAGTTTTGCGAACCCAACGCATCGCTATTCTGTGCATTACGGTCTCAAGCCTCGTTGATACCACGAGCATCTGTGCACCATCTATTTGGTGCCGGATCAAAGACGATCTTTTCTGCTCCGTATGTTTGCATGCGAACGCGCAGGATATGTGTCACAGGTGTTGAGGGGAATGAAAGTAAAAGCTTTTCCTTTACAGATTCATATAATTAGGGGTTATTTTAATGTTTAAAGAGTTGGGATGCTGACTGAGTGAGTAGTGAGAGAAAAAATGAGTGGATTTTAGTTCAGTTTTAGCTGGATGTTTGGGCCAGTTGGGTTCTGCTTAGTATTATAAACTATTTAAATGTATTCTATAAAAAGATAATTTAATTATCAAAGCTATATCTTGCTAATTGTTTTTAAAACAAATTGGTTGAAGGTTTGGCTTATGCTGATATTAAATAAGACCAACTCAACAGTTCGGATAAATTAAGCTTTTATGTCACGTTTTGCTTTTTTATAGCTCACGTCTTTACTATTTTGGTTCAGCCTCACTGCTCAGGAGAGCCATGTATTCAGGCTCAGCACAGATGGAGTGATGGAAATAGCTGGAGATCATAGTGGAACATCCAGCAGCACGAGAGCTGAACATTATATCATTCTGAATCTGACAAAGCTCTGCTTGAGACAGACATTAGAAGAGATGAGAAATACACACAGACACCAACAGTTTGCGTCTCTCCCTCTAGGTTTTGAGGGACAACATGTTCTCCCAGTTCACCCAGCTGAAGAGCCTGGACCTCCAGCAGAACCACATCTCCATGGTGGAGGACGGGGCGTTCACTGGCCTCTCCCAGCTCACCACCCTGCTCCTCCAGCACAACCAACTGAAAACAGCCACCGAGGAGATCCTGCTCCCCCTGACCAGGCTCACCTACCTCCGTCTCTACGACAACCCCTGGATCTGCCAATGCGCCTTAGACAACCTGATCAGAACCCTGCAGGTGCCGAGCAACCGCAACCTCGGCAATTTCGCCAAGTGTGCGGAGCCCCATTCGCTGAGGGGCCAGAAGCTGAGGAAGCTGAACGTGACCTTGTTGTGCGCGGACAAAGACGCGGGGGACGGGGAGCCGGGGGGCAAGGAGCAGGGGCGACCAATAAAAGTGACGGAAGCCACGTCCATGTGCCACACCTACATGTTCCCCAAACCTCTGCTGGACTGCAGCAACAAAGGTGAGATTGTCTGTCTCAGTCATGTGATTTAACTGTGTCACGTCCACATTAGTGAGAAACTGAAATAAGTACCGTGTACACAGAAAAAGAATGAAGCTTCTTATTTGATAGTTGGCATGTGTAATAAATCATTTTCCTGGCAAATGTATCAAACGCCGATAGATTGCCCTGTTATTCTCTAGAAGGAATTTTCCGTCTAATTTGATTGTGATATGTCTGAGCGAGCAAAGAAGCGTTTGTTTGATCAGGTTTGCCACCTGAGGCGTCTGAACTTGATTTGGAGCCAAGGAGCAGGCTGTTCATAGTCTGTGCTGTCAAACTAAAATTGTTTGGCTTTCAAGCGAGGACCATCATTTCCCATTTCAGTTGCATTGCTTAGCCGTTTGAAGTGCCGCAGGGTGGAGCGTTTGTGTTATTGTGCATTGTATTCCAATTTGAATCATGCATTCATTAGCTTTCCACAGCTTTGTGTTCACCGAGGCATTTCGAGGGGCGGTGATTACCACCAGCATCGCACCCTGTTTGTGTTGCCAGTTTTATAGCTGAGTCAGCACTGAGTCTAGAAAGCTGCGGGCAGGAACCGTTGCAAATACACGAAGGAGAGATGGAGCGAAGGGGAAGGAACGGTTCTTTCAGCTCTTCCAGTTTTCACATCTGGTTCTCGCTGTGTGTAAAAATGCCACAATGAAGCTGCAATCGTAGACGTTGTAACTTGTCCAGCGCTCCATAAAAAGTGGGTCAGTGTTGTTTTTCGCAGACAGTCTGGAGGCACGGATAACAAATTCGGAATTTTTGCAGGTAGATTTTGGGTACTTTTACGTGAGCTCTGTCTCTTGTTGGATTGCTCTGATTTTCCTTTTATCCGTATCGTCCTCGTCTTCCTCCTCCCAAATGGCATTCGTGTCACGACACTGAACTGAAAGATCGCCTCTGTCCTTGTTTCACACCAAGTGAACTCCCTGATCTTAATGTACAATTAAGCGCATTTATAAATGGAAAGCCTATGCTCTTCTCAGAAAGGCATATTTCACAGAAGATGGAGGAGGAAAAAAACACACACAATGCAGCGCCTGTGATGTGTCAATTCTATGTCTGAAACACAGAGAAAGTGTCTGTTTTTCTCAAAGGCATTACTCTCCAATGGATCATTTCTTCTTCTCATGTACTCGATAATAACTCTTTACATCCGGTCGATTAACTCATGCCCCATGTTGGGTCCAACACCCACAATGTGGCGTAATACACGACAGCTGTGCATGGCGTTCAATACATGGTCTCTGTGTTGAATCTCTTCAATTTATAGTTTTTTTTAATTGCTCTATCATCCAGCACCAGCATGTTTTCTAAATGTAACAACAGTTTTTCATCAAGAGAATTATTTAGACCCCCAGTTTCTCTTATATCAGTTGCATGACTGTGACATTCTTATCCATTTTGCTTCCAAGTTCCATTTAATCCATTTCTCCTCTACTGGAATTAAAGGAGTATTTGGTCAAACATTTGGTCAGATGCATCTTCAGAAAAAAAATGCAAGTGGTCAGAAAAAATGCGTTCCTGGGTTTGGAGCAAACATAATTGTTTTTTTTCGCACTGGAAAGCAATAATTAGAAAACCCAGAGCAGAGTGGAAACTTATTCTGATCTTTCTGTTGCCTTGCCAACAGCAAACAAATGTTTTTTCCCTTGTTGATCTCTTTCTCCCTCACACTGTTTGGAAGTGAACCACAGTGGATTTCAGGCTGCAGGCGCCGGCCGCCAAAGCTCCACAAAGCGGTTAGTTAACATGGGAGTTCTTTAGACTGTTTCTCAAAGATGAGACGTGGAGCTGAGAGTCCTCTGTGGGGATATCAGAGGAGGCCTTCTGTCTAAGCCCCATCTATACAGTGGGCACATTAAGTACCTCCGTGCATCCTTGTTGTAGAAGTCTGTAAAGCTATTATAGCAACAACAGCATTATATACACAAATGTACCTATTTGATGTATTGGGTCAGAGCTAGTAAAGGATTATTTTAATAGACAACTGTAGGTTCTGGCTTACTTACTGTGCAGGTAATGCAAGTATGCAATTATTAAAAATAACATAATCATATTTTAAAATTGAGCAGATATCGGAAATTACCAAATACCCTTCTAGATTTTTGTATTAGCAAGAAAGTAGATGTCAGATGAGTTTTATTGGTGCTAAATCAAATTTTCTTTTTTATAGCCACATTAGTCGTTTGGCTCATTCCAGGTGGTTTATTTTGAACACATCTCATAATGTTGCTCAGAAACCTACACGGTGGTATGGCTTGTTCTGGCCAAGTTCTAGATTGTGCTCATGAGGTCAAGACCTCATTTGGTTTAGGGGGGAAACATAAAACCTCCATATAAACCACAGGCCGTTTGGGTACAGTACAGTGACTCATATATGTGGTGCCTGGGCTTGTTATCAGTCACACAAACACCTACAGTACGTGCACAGTGTCATGTCAGCCTCTCCCTGGACCTCCTGGATCACAGACAGCGGGCAGCTAGTCAGCAGAAAAAATGAATCCGCCATGGTGTCATTGGATCGGGAGGCAGAAAGCATGACTGAGGAAGAGAGCGGAAAAAAAATCCCCCTCGGGTCAAAAGGTCATTGTAAAAAAAAGAACATGGAAATTCCACTGAAATCATTTTTCTCAGATTTCTCAGATGTTCATTATTTTGTTTTTCTCAGTGAACTATGGTTATGGTGACATGGGGGCAAAAAGGTGGTAATTACGTGTACCTCAGTCCTGGGCAAGACAGGTTCTGGATTTATTAGTCCGGATTAAGATCAGGCCTGTACAGTTCTCATTAGTTTGTAACTCTTTTTACAAAGTTCTGCAGCCAAACCTTTTGGATGCATTTGCTAAGGTTTTAAAATATAACACTGAAAAAGGGTAAAGTGGTTGTAATAAACAATTGTTTAAGTCTAATATGGAAGCTTATTTTCTTTTTTGCTTTGTCTCTGAGTTGAAGCAGTGATATCTTTCAAACAGAGTTGTCTGTACGTTTGAAATTTTTTTTCCCTCTGCTTCTACATTTAGTCAAAACTGTCAAATACCGTTGTGTGTATTGCATGAAGCCCAAACATGACAGGACACAAAATACAGAGCGTAGAAGCACTGGACAAAATTATATTTAAATATATATTAATGTCATTTAACACAAAAGGTTCATTACGTTTCGTGTTAAATGATGTTTCGGGAAAAGATTCCAACACAATTCAGATTTTCCTTCAGTAGTTATGTATCTAACAAAAAGTGCAACAGAACAACAGAACGTTCTCCACATTCTTCTTGATATGTCACTTAGATTAAAGATTCCATGTGAACTCATTCATTGCTACCTAATGCTACCATGCAATACATCAAATTAATTCAAATCAAACTTGTCACTTTAACATAAACCAGATGATTAAACTGACAATCCATCATGTAAATTTAATTTAAAAACCAACTGTCTAATCTAAATTCATAGCAGAGGTACTATGGGACACATCAAGCAGGGAGTTCCACAGTTAGTAGCAACGCACAAAGCCTATACGCACACATGTTCACATGTGCACTGAAATAATGACTCCAGCAGATTTCCCCCCCTCCAAAAAAATGAAATGCAGTCCAAACCTAGTTATGAGTCAATGGCTTTCACGTTTCCTGACATGTCCTCTCTCCACCTGTGTGCATGTAATTTATTCTGCAGTCTGCAGAGGGACAGTAGGAAACAGCACTTCCATTAAAAATCACCAAACACCGAAGGTCCACAGCTGTATCCCTATTGGACAGAGAGGATCTGTTTTGGCTTCTACGGTGGAAGTCTGATTTTTCACAAGGGGGCCTGGGAATTTGAGTCCAAACTTTTTCGAATCTGAAAATACTGTTGCAGGTACAGTATGTACACCTGAGCAGGATGGGATTCTATTCAGGCTTCGAAGAATGATAACGTGTTGTCAGTCTGTTCGTGCCTCTGTAAATGTCCCTGCCTGCATCACTGAACAATAATTACATCTCTCCAGGGAATTGGCTAAATGTGTGTGTGTTCATGCTGTGTAAAGTGTGTCCTTTTTGTTGGATGTGCAATTTTATTTTCCTAGTCAGTTATGAATCATGGTGCAATGCGTCGGCTGACAAATTGCAACATCTGTGGCGGTAATTCGTGTGCACGAAGACTGCAAAATATGCTTTATGAAACGGCCACTAAGCATTCATCTGGAGAATTATGCGATCTGTTTGAATAAATATATGTAGGAAACAAGTCCAAATGTGTAATTATGCATGAATGATTAACACATATCGTACACAATCTTGCTTTTTTTACACCTACGAAATAAAAGCCATTTAAAATAAAAATAAGCATTGTTTGATTATATGTTAGTCAGTGTCCTGTGCCTCAGGTATCCTCTCATCTGCAACGACTTTACACGGCTTTAACATTAATCAATGTTCATTCTAATGATACAAATGCCGTGGCCACCTGCTCAGTTTGAAACTGATATCATCGCCCTCCCATTTAGATGATTTGTATATTTGTACACATGAAAAAGGTATAATGACCATCGCAAGTGACTCAAAAGCCATTGAGATGTTATTTGTTTTTTTAACTTAGCAACTACCAGACCATGAGAAAGTGGAGTTATTTATTGTCTGTAGATAAGCTCCAAATAATCTATAGTGAAGCTTTTGCTGTGTTGTTTCCATCTTAGAGAAAAGCGTCCCAACATTCGAGAGACATGCGTTGTGGGATTTAAAACTCCAGGAAGATCTGTTACCAAAATGGGAATGTGAGGGAATCACTGTTTCCTACATTAGAGTTCTCTTACCGGTGGGAAATGTGTGTGTGTGTGTGTGATCACGTTGGCAGAGAGTGGAAACAGGCATGAAGTATTGCTATACATATCCACACTCCATCTTGAAACGGTTAAATGTTGCACACAACCCACGCAACATCTTTAAAATTAATAATGATACAGACAGATTTCCAGCTCTCCTGTGGATTCCGGAGCTCTGCTCTTTGTATGCTCAAGTTCATTGGCCTCCGTCCTGTAAACCTAGCAACAGGAATACAGGGTTTCATCTCGATCGTTGCAGATATGCATTCTGTTGTTCCAGCTGTCGTCACTGTTGCTGAAATTACATTTATTTGTTTTTCATTCTTTTCAGATTTGAAAAACATCCCGTATGAACTGCCCTCCGACATAGTGAAGATGGATCTGTCGAGAAACACCATCAAACATCTCAGGCCCAAACAGTTCCTGCTTTCCAAAGACCTCAAGCAACTCAACCTTAGCAGCAACAACCTGCACCATTTAGGCACAGGTAAAGCAAGTGCAACACACACAGACAAACACACACACACCTGAGCATATGCATCAGGGCACTTCAGTGCATTATCCTTCAGCCACATTTACTTTATTATCTGTCCATTAAAGCCATAAAACAAGAACCAATGACATATCCTATCAAAACGCCAGCTATCTTTTCCTCTTTGTCAAAGCTGCATTAGCAGTTAACAATCGCCGATGACCCCGACCGATGGATGAACTTCAAAGTTACCAACGTGGTGAAACCAGAACAAAGATTTATCTGATAAATCTGACACACAGAGGAAATATAAAAACCCACAGAATGTGATATAATTAGAGCATGCTTTGACATCTTAATACCTCTAAAAAGTATTTGTTACTGGTTTGTTTGTTACTAACGTTTTGTTACTGGTGTTAAGAAGAAGAAATAATCTTCAAACATGGACGATGACAATGATGAAACAATACTGATAGAAACCACAAAAATGTCCCATTTGAAACTTGATATAAGTAAATGTATGACTCTCAGTGTGAAATAAAGAACAAGGAAAGATTGGAGAAAATGGAATTGGGAAACAAGATAATAGTGTTAAAGGATCAATTTTACTGATGTAAAATATCAGCTCTGCATAGTAATTCTGTCCCATCATTATTCTGACTGGCACAAATAAGGGGCCGACTCATTACTCTCTCAAGCCTAATGATGTCTGAGTTTATGTCTTCCTGCGCGGAAGGGAAGTCCTCTATAAAACCTTGTAGCTTTCTTCATTAGCCTGTAACACATGTCAACAATCTACTGCAGCTCGTCCACTGAGTCCAAGACTGCATTTGAACCGGAAAAGAACAGATAATGTGTAAGCTTGTGACATATGGTGACGGTCTTGGTTTCTCCTTTTAAGCAATTTCATATTTGGAGAAAAATAAAATATTTGTAATTCATAATAAGAGGTTGTTTATCGCGTCATTCATGTTTCTCGCTCACTCCGGCACACTGGGGTTATTAGAGAGATGCACAGTCGCTTCCTTGTTAGTTTTGGACGATGTGTCTGCCAGATTGTTGTGGTTTTTCCTCGCAGTCTAAAACACCCAAAAGACAAACAATAAGTTAAACAGTCACAGAACAGCACATTATATATGAAGGTTAATTTAATGCGCTTTTCCTATGACTGGTAACTTGAAATTTTAGATATTGTGGCAACGTCAGCGCCCCGCCCGTCTGGAACTCCAAAAGTGCAGCTAAGACTAAATTACCAGTCGAAGCGCTTTTTAAGCCTTTGTAGAAAATCCTGCTTGCCTTGTGTTTCTATAACTGAAGCAGCAACGTAACTGCAAACAATCATGTAATTGCTGCACTGACACAACAGTGATTTGTGTAGTTACGGTTACCAGAGACTTCGAAATTGTTGTCATTTGTTTGGGAAAGTTGTTGCTCACATCGGCCCACACGGCCCAGACAGGCAGGACAAACCCGGCGGTGGTGGATCATAGGGGAGGTGGGGGTGGGCATTAAAAGGTATATTTTGCTCTCATGGCTGGTGGGCTGGTGGCTACTACCGATCCTCATGGGTGTCTTGCTAAAGCGGGTGGAAAAACTCTCGTGAACAGAACATATTTTTATAGAGAAAGCTTTGGCACAGTTTCCTGCACAACAACGCAGCAGGAAATTAGACCACACTGGGGTTTCTGTGGCCGCAGTGGTTCAAAAAGCAATTAACAGTAGCCCCTTTGGGAGAGTCACAAGTCTTCTGAGAGAGATAAGACATGGAAAGGAATGGGTTAGTAAGGTTGCATCCCTCCTCTTTACTCTCATACAGGTCTATCTTGTTGTGTAATCTTTATGGTTGAAGGACGAGATCGCACAAACAGGATCTTATCTGTTACAGTGATAGAAAATGGATTTAATGAATGAAGATTATCATCCCCAGAGTCTGTTTTCCTTTCATGTCTCTGTCTCGGTGCTGTCTTTACCTTGACTATATTTTACGTGTTCCACACATCTTCTATTTAGCTTCTCGAAATAGCTTCGGTGGAGCCGGTGGATCGTAGCCAACAGCGCTAAGTCACGACAAAACTGCGGGCAGAGCTAACGGTGTTTTCCCGAGAGGGAACCAGAAAGTGGAAGCCAAACTGGACTCCTCTAAAGTGGAGCATTCAGCAGTCAGATTTCACCTTTCGGAGACCAAAAGAGAGTGAAAAAGAGGGTGAATATTGGGCTTACATTGGAAAGGTGCCCACAACGTGAATAGTAATGTTGCACCGTGTCTTCAGGATGTGTCCAGAGAGTCCAGAATGTTTAGCCTCCAGGGAGCAGTTTGAGATGCCAACTTAATTTTTTCCAAACTTTCTTTACTTTCCCAGCTTCATTTGCAGGCCTGCTCCACCTCCAGGAGCTCGACCTGTCCAATAACAGCCTCCATTACTTCGAGTACGGTGTGCTGGAGGACCTTTACTTCCTAAAGAAGCTCACGCTGGAGAACAACCCCTGGATGTGTGACTACAACATCCACTACCTGATCCACTGGCTCAAGCACCACCAGGGCGTTTCCTACACCGGCCTGATCTGCTCCGAGCCGAAGGAGTTCAGGGGCTGGCGCGTGGAGGATTACGTCAAGACCTACAACGGGGACTGTCCCATTGATAAACAAAATGGATGGATGGATACGGAGCAGGGAGGACATGTGGGGATGGAGAACAACGCACAGGAAGAGATGGTGGAGACGGGGCAGATGCAGGGCGACGGTCTGCCTTTGCCCCTGAGAGAGAGGAAGCGTAAGATGTTTGAGATCATCAGGCTGAGTTAGAGTGTTTGTGCATCAGACTGGTAGTATGGAGGGAAGAAGAGTGATGATTAATGAAGGTAGACTTCCTAAAGGTAAGACTTTGATGTTTAGCTGAACAACGTGACCAGGAAGAGTCGAATTCTGCAATGAAACATTGTTGTCATTTTGATAATCAATTTAAAAATCAAACACATTTTGATTGCTATTTTCTACCTTATGAGAAATGATTTAGGAGCTTTTGGTTTTTGCAGAGCATGACCAGCCCAGTCTGTATCAGATCTAAAAACCTCCACAAAGACGTATCTTTGAATGTCCTACACAATGAACTGCAGGTGCTCGCTTCTTTTCAGTTACAGTCATTTTATTATTGAGTTCAGGATACACTTTTTTTCCTCTCATAAAAAGCTGTTTTTGATCCTTTTGTGCAAATATTGTATGACATTGTCTACCGGTTTTCTGGAAATAAAATTGGGTTCATTTTTTCTTTGTTCATACGGGCATGACGGATGTGTAAGTGTAAATAGACGGAACAAACTTGTTGCCCTTTCATCAGTTAACAACCAAAAAAGACAAGATGCAGTTTTATTTTGTCATTTAGTTCTCTGTGTTTTAATTGGTTCATGCGAGTTTCCAGATACACTTCAGTTGTTCGGGTGGCCTGATACCTGACTAATAATGATGATGAACACCTTCTGCATTTAGCATCCAAATCCAATATTCCAATAAGTCCCCACACGTTTACAGCATTCAGAAGGTTTAACATGCAAACCAATGTAATTTGGATGCTCACTCTCATCATCCTTATTCATGGTTTTGTCATGCTTTAGGCCCCCAAGGCCATTTTAAACCGGAATAATGCATATCCTGCTGCGCAAAAAAACAATGACAAAATTCATCTCCCATACTTCATGGAAAAACATAGAGGTGAAATTATTTTAAAGTCATATAATTACAGACATTTGTCTTTCCACATAAATGAATCAATAAGGCAGGTTAATTGTGTAAGAACACTGCCCCATGGTGTTGGATAAGAAAGTGATTTTGGCAAAGTTGAGGGTGATCTAGAAAGTGTTTTCCTGTGTACATGTGGCATGTTGGGTTGCAATCAATTAATCTCTTAGCGCAGTCACAAGCGTTTTAAATCACCTTTCGTTTTGTTGTTAAAGGCAATGAGCACCCGGCCTGCAGCTGAGGCTCATGCATAACAGCACAGCGCCCTCTAGTGTTCACCATTCTTTGGTCAACAGGAGGATTTCTGGAAGAAATTCAAAGTCTACTATTTACAGTTATGAAAATGTCAGACATTATGTTGTCATCAAACAAACGTTCACAGTACTTTTGGCAGCGGAGGATCACAACGCGTCGTAGAAGCACTGCAAGAGGGCCCTCGGGTGAGAAGGACGGGCTCATGCACCATTACAACATTGAATGACCCAGATGGTTAAAAGACGCAGAGCGTGGCTGAGGCCACATGCGCTGCTCGAGTCTGTTTTCTGGTGTCCAACCACCGCAATAAAAAGGTCTTTGACTTTACATTCGGGCTTTTAATTCATTTCGGTAGTGGCAGCTTAAAAAAGAAAGGAAGTAACAGTCAAACAGCAAGAGAAAAATATTCACCAGGAATAATTGAAATAAAAAAGATCCGTCCCCAATTTCCTACTAACATGCCCTGGTTGTGTCCTTATAGCACCGGCTAACAGGACTTTTGGGTCGGATGAGTTGCAAAAGCTTACTGATTCACACTGAATTTATATGTCAACACTTTCCTAAAGTTGGAAACTTCCTCATTGTGAGGAATCACGCGGCCTGGCCGGCCACATTCAGCTCTCATTCATCTTGGGGTCTTTATCTGTTCCTCTTCTCAAACATTCGTTATCAAATGTGTCTTTCACCCTCTTCCTCTTCCTTTTTGTTCTAACTTCAAATCAACAACAGGTCTTCTTCTCTGGTGGAGTGTAGGCAGCTGCAAAGCCATCGATAGGCCGAGAGTTGGACCGGAGGATAACTCGAGGTGTGCTGCTGCCTATCGAGTCCTCTCGCTGGACATTTAGGCCGTTACGAGAGAGCAGCTCTCTGGCCATCATGAGGAAGGCTTCTTCCACGTTCTGGCTCTCCTTGACACGGAGAGGGAAATAGAGAACTTTAGATTCCGGCCAACTCCATTGCGTTTTTAAACGAAGCAAAAAGCAAAAGCGCACTCATTACCTTTGCGGATGTTTCCAGAGCGGCGAGTATGTCTCTGTCCTTTGCCAGATCGCAGGCTTCCTCAAACGGAACCTGACGTTCCGGCTCCATGTCGCATTTGTTACCTACGTGGAGACAATCAGGGAGCTTTAAGATGCAAACACAAGACCTCAGAATTGTCTTTATCAGACCCAAATTTTTGGCATCACCAATATGTGGTAATAGGATTATCAGTGCACCTGATATCAATGCTGGTATTTTCAGTACTGCTGCAAGCAAAGTGTGATATAACCAGCTATGTGTACGAAGTAATTTTCCTGAAATGTAATTGATCCAGTGATTTGAAAAGCTTACATTTTACAACCGTTATAAGTGCATGCTGCTCTTTGTGCAGCATGCACTCGCTCTGCGCTGTTTTCCCGATTGCATTCATGTTAATTTAGGGTTAGAAGTTAAGTTCCATTCTACACTCAAGTGCAAAGTCCGTAATGTGATGCTTGATACATTGGAAGTATGCAAAGTGGAAAGAGGTCTATGTTTGTTTATGTTCCAAAGGTGAATTCTTTGCATGAGTCGATCCAAAACAAATTGTGTGTTCATAGTTTCTGCACTCAGTTTAGATAGGTACTGTGTCTTTGCTCAAATCGGAATAGCTGACTTTTATTATGGTACTTACGCTCATACGCTGACACGGTCATTGAATTGCATCAAATAGCATTAGGCTTTCAAATCTTTCTTATATTCTATCAACCCACTATTACACAGATACTATTAGTGCACCTCACACGCCAACATGCCCGGTTTTCACTCACCTATGAGAACCAGCACGACATTGTTCGCTCCATAGAGCTCCACCTCTTTGATCCAATGAGCCACCGAGTCAAAGGTCGAGTGCCGCGTGATGTCATAGGCGATGATGGCGCCGTGAGCGCTGCGGTAGTAGCTCTGGGTGATTGTACGAAACCGCTCCTGGCCGGCCGTGTCCCACACCTGCATCTGTTACACAAACGCAGACAAGGGCGAGGAATGAGCTGGATGGATTTAATGCACATGGATGGATGTGTGGCTGACATGTGGATGAACAGCCATATGCCAATGAAAATACTGTAAGACTGTTTACTCACACACACACACACACACACACAGGTAATAGTTTGTCCCTCAGCAGAATATTCCCTGAGCATTTGAGCAACGTGGTAACGGCTGTCATGGCAACCAATCTAAACTCACTCGCTCAATTTGTTTTCGGTCCGTTTGGTTTGAACTCGGTTTGACAGTGTGCGTCCGGACAACATAAAAAAAAAGGATGCTTTGATTCAGTTGTCTAAGTTTGATCAAATAAAACAGACAAACAGGAGCTTTCAACCGTCAACCTCTGTACAGGGTTCTCTAACGTTAAAGCCACCACTGCTCCAACCTGTTGAGTGGAGATGATGATTTTGGATTCTTGAGTCATCCAACTGCTTTGTAATTAGAACAAAAGATGGGTGGCGTGGGTGTGCGGTTTAAGTCACAGCCTGTTCCTTCCTCCTGGCGAGGTCAAAACCGAATAACATGCACCCGAAAGACAAAAACAAGGGCAGCGCATTTGATATAACCTTGACTTTATTTCGTCATTCTGGGCAAACAACTGAGACAAACAACCATTCATTCTCACATTCACTCCACCAATTTTGAGTCTAATCCCGAACCCCTAGACCAGGTCTCTGGACTGTGGGAGGGACCCCATGCAGACACACAGAAGAAACATGCAAACTACACACAGAAAGGCTGCTGGGTGGCATTAAACTCCCGGACCTGCTTGCTGCGAGGCGACAGTGATAAACCACCAAGCCACCGTGCAGCCCGTCTGCCCAAAGGTCAAGACTGAGAAACAATTTGCACATGAATGTGAACAGACGGGTTTTCGGGTGAGACGTATTCAGGTAACTAACTTTAGATACATGCGGAAACAATCACTATCTGCCCAAATCGTTTAGTCTTTTTTCAATCTTGCAACCCCTTCCTGGTTGGTTTCTGCTCCACGCATAAGCTCCAGCAGAGGAACCTGACAGACAGGTCTTTCATGTGAGCCCACTGGTCCAAGTGAAACTGTACCCAAAGGACACGTCTCTGTGGGGTATCATTCATCCCGTTCATCCTGCCGTTTTCAATTTAAAAAGTACTTTTCATTTTCTCATTCTACCAAATGGCATGTTTCCTTAATACACACAGCGTGTCATTGTCAGAACCAGCTGACACCCATGAGAAGGACTGAGGCACTTAGCCAGCATTGCTGGGGTATAATTAGGGTTTCCGCAGGATTGGCCTTGTCAAATTAAATCATTTTCAAAACCACGTAGATTGCAATTTGATACCAGCTTTGAAGTCAAATTAATTAAAAGAAAACAGTAGGTATGATGTGGCCAATATTTACATATTACTGTTAATTCTTCTTAGAAGTACAACAAGAATTGGGACCTGGACACAGGTAAACCACACAGGATTCAGCAAATCAAATGTTGTTTTTCTGCCATTACTACCTTTAAGACTTCATAATGCCTCACAAGGCCTGAAGCTAGGACGGACTGCAACTTTTTTGGTCTGCATATGGCAGATTCGAGGTCCTACACTTCATACTCGGATCACCACATAACCCCACACACAGGCCCAAAAGGACTCCCCATGCATTTATGTCACACACCACATAGAGTTCTGACCTTAACTTTCTTCCCCTCGATGTCCACGGTCCGTACGGTGAAATCCACTCCGATGGTGTTCTGCTGTCTCTCTGAGAAAATCCCGGACTTGAAATTCTGAACCAAGCAGGTCTTTCCTACGTTAGAGTCTCCGATCAAGATGATCTTGAACAGGAAATCAAAAGAGTCATTGTGCTCGGGCCCTGGGGTCTGCATGGTGGAGGTACGGTGGCGTCTTCTCTGATGCTCTTCCCTTGTAGACCACGTGGACTTTGAGGTCAATAGATGCCGGGTGGTGTTTAATCTTTGAATGAGGGGACACTTTCCTGTTTCTTTTGTTGACTGTTGATCACCGGGTACGATTTCCACCGGCAGTGTAAATGCAGTAAAACCAGTTGAGTGTTTGGACGGTTTATTCAAAGTTCATAATGTGGCTGACATTCATTCACCGCACCAATCTTTTGCCAGGCTTACACATTGCAAGGGACTGAGCAGCAATGTGGAAATATCAACCCTGCCTGTTTTCAAAGGTTAAAAATGCTGCATTCCCAACATCTTCCGTCGCAATCCATTCCAATCTGCCCGTCGCTGACGGTGCTCCCTTTTTAGTAGGACAAAACTGCCTCCGTCTGTGCTGCTCCTTTTAGCTGCTCCTCAGGTGTTGACCCACTTTTTGGCCTCAGGCAAAAGAAAGTGGGAGTAAACATCCCATCCTTTTAGGTCCCAGTTAGCCGTCCTCCCCGGGAAAAAGTAAAGCAAAATACACTTTCAAAAGACACTTGTCTGTAATCCAGGTTGCCGTCCAATCCACCTGCTCTTCATTCACACAGTCGGCTCTTTTTCCTCCACCGGCTTCACCTGCCTCTTTCTGTCATCAGGTTTTACTGGTTTTACTGACTTACACTCTCTCTCTGCCTCTTTATAGCACCTGTGGAAACAATAGAAACCCGCCCTACCTGTTCTAGGGAAGTAGCCCAGCCCCGCTGAGGCTGTGGAATCCTGGGAAATGCAGTCATTTGGCCAGTAGAAATCAGTCACACTCATTCAAGGATTTTGGGAGAATTTGAACAATTCTCCAAGTTAAGGAGTTGCTTTGCCTCCATCCCTGCCGTTGCTGTAGAGGAATGGGCCACACAATAGGGGGAATTATGACTTGGGTCATACATTAAATGCAAAATATTTTAAGCTGAATGTCCTCCCTATGACCGATATTCAATATGATAAGCGATGGAGGAATATTTGGGCCTCCCAATGTATCGTGAGCAGCATTAACAATAGCTTCATAATAACAGCTGGATAAAGTCAGAGAGGTCAAATCTTTTGTGATTGTGTTTTTCAGATATGTGAGAGTTTTGGCAAACAAGCAGTGGAGCTTACATTTTACAGTTACTGAGTTCTTAGTACGTATTTATCCCTGTAAACGTAATGTTTGATTTTAATTTAAATATATCAAGAATGTAGGACAGTATAATCCATTTATTTAAAAAAAAAATCAGTTTTTATTTACTAAACCCTCTGGATTGTGCTCTATGTTTTTCCGAGGGTACTAAGGGGTTACACAGCTGCTCAGTCATTTTACGGTGCTGCTCACATTATTCACACCCACTGCACCCACGAATTCCTGAATGAATTCCTTCAATCGCGGAGCCGAACATTATCCGCGTGCGCTAATCCTCTTGGCTCGGATATTTCCCACCGCCCGTGAAAGCAGCACCGACCCAGCGCATCACACAGTGACGTCCTGTGCGATAGATAGAGACAGATAGATGCCCTCACAGTTCTGATCATAGGTCTGCAGCCTTTATATTTTCTGCATGTGAAAGGGCGTCGAAAGCCTGGGAGAGAAGCAGCAACATGCATCGGAGTGCAGTTGTCGTGGTGGCGGATAAAATGAGTCTGAAAAGGCCGTTTATTTTTGCAAACGCTGTGCATATGGTAGGTAACCTACAATTCATCGCTATTGAATGCAATTTAAGACCCGAAGGCCTATTTGATTTTTTTTTTTTTCTTCCCGTGTGTAAATATGTGTTTTTCTTGCCGTTATTTTGGACGAAAATCATCATTCGCCATAGAATGAAGCCAAATAACAATATGCTAGTGCTGGATGTCCGTTTCTCATGCAAACATGCTAATCCCCTCCATCAAAAATAGCATGGCAATTCCTGCGTTGCGTTTTATGTAACATGTGATACATGTTTTCTATGGTTACATACAGAGAAGATTATAGCCTATATAAAAAAGAAGCCATCGTGGTGGTTGGAATTTGTATTAGCAAAAGGATAACCGTCCTCACCATAATCCTTTCTCACATGCACTCATCCCCAGAAACAATATTTATCGTGTTCCTATAATGCTACTGTTTACAGTGAGTTCATATTTCCAAACTGTGGGTTTGGATTCATGTGCCGTATGAGTCTGCATTTAGCTGTAATGTTCCCGTCCTCCAAAGGTATTATCTTAGAATAATCCTTGATATCTGGGCCACTGACTAAGCATTTGTCCGTAGTGAACTATAGAAGATATTAAAACAATCTCTGCAGATTGAATACAAAGTTAGACACAGGCATTATAATACTAAAATATGTATTTGCTTCATCTTCTGTCATGTTCCATGTCCTCTTCACTTGCAAACTTAAAAAATGTTTGTTCTCTTTTCTCCAAAGGCACTGTGCTTCTTCATGTTGACGATGACAGTAGCTTGGCATAGAGACCTGATACAAACTGGCAAAGTAAGACTAATTTAAGAGGTTTCTCTTAGTGTGTGAAAATACATTCCGAGAAATAAATAACTGTTGTTAGGCCTTGCAAGTCAAGTCAAGTCATTTTATTTTGTATAGCCCATAATCGCAAATTACAAATTTGCCTCAGAGGGCTTTACAGTCTGTACACATACAACATCCTCTGCCCCGAAACCCACCATCGGCACAGGAAAAACTCCCCAAAAAATGAAAAAACCCTTACAAGAGGGAAAAAAGGGAAGAAACCTTAGGGAGAACGTCAGAGGAGGGATCCCACTCCCGGGATGGACAGACTACAATGGATGCCATGTGTACAGAATGAACAATGTATAATACATGCAATTCCTATGACAGAAATGATTCAAGTAATTGTGAGTAGTAAGCCAGGCGCACAGCAGGACCACTGCAGGGGCAACCACCATCAGCAAGGAAAACAAGAGTTGCAGGGAGATTCAAGGGCAAGATGAGGATTATTAATGCACTGGTTCACGTGGTCTTCCTGATCAATAATGCCTCAACACACCACAGCAACGTCTTTTCAAGGCCTGAGTTTGAGCTTTAAATGCTGGCAAGCATCACACAGTTGAAGTGTCCTTGGGCATAGACAGTAAATTATCTTCAGATGCTGTGGCTGACCCTGACCTTTTGACTTCTTTTGTAGCCATCTTGGAAATACATCTGTGACTGCAAAATAGTACGAATAACAACATGGTGGAGCCAGTGGACGGATGCCCTTTAAAGCCGATGCTATTTCTCTCCTCAGCTGGTGTCCAATGTTTCCGTGGTGATCATGTACGTGGTGGAGATTGGCTGCCTGCTGCTCTCGGTGCTCGGTGTGGTTGGAGCCTGTACAGGGAAGAGATGGTGTTTGATTCTGGTATAAAAAAAAACCAAACAAACTGCTTTTTACCTTTTTGCATATGTTCAAAGGGGCGTTCCGCAAATGATGTTTCACTTTCACTCTGGTTTGACCGTTTGTTGTAGTATGCAACTGGGATGGCGGCAGCAAGTCAAACCATAATTGTGAGAACAGCGCTAAGTTACCAAGATGTTTATGAGGTATAGTGCTTTGATGCCTTGCTTTTACCTGCAAATTTGGATCTTTACAACATGTGATGTAATCAGAGTACCTTTGACTAGGCTACAGTACATCTGGATTTCTCCCTCCCCAGAAACGCGTGGCCCGCGAGGAGTCAAAGTTGCTGTCCATGATGCCGCTGAGCGGAACCAGCAAAGCCAACAGGACGCTGCTGTATAGTATTCAACAAGAAGTAAGCAGCTATTATTTTAGGTTGATATTCAATTTAAGAAGACGTTTTAAGGAGATTGACACCATTAAAAGTATAACCCATCAGCTTTTAGCAGTCATTGTTGCAGTGAACCCATAGCTGTACAGAATACTTTGATTTGATCAAGTGATTTGATACAGATGAGACATTGACCTGAAATCTTCATTTATGGACATTGGACATGTTGTGTTCCTCTTGAAGTGCAAGTCAGAGCCACACATTTCGTAAAAAATATGCACTAACATGAGTGTTATAATGCTTCATGACTACGAGGACGGAAACGCTGTCCTCTCCACGAACCCCGCGAGCTTTGTGGTAATTTCGGGGAATTTTCTTGGCCAGTTCTCCCCTCGCTTTAACAAGAAAAGCTGCCAGAATAGCGTAGAGGCCTTTGCTTAGCCGTCTAGGGGATGATGGGAATATCAGGATCTGCAGACAAGTATCTGTGCCTATTAATCCAGTTCATGCTGGTTTCATTTACGTCTTGCGCGGCCTGTGTGTGTTTTTGTCTCCTCCAGTTTGAGTGCTGTGGTCTTATTGAAGGCTATAAAGACTGGGGCTCCTCCATCCCGGCCTCCTGTAACTGTCACTACCCAGGGAAATGTGTGAGTCTCCCTTTAAATATAAGCAACTTATCATCAGTGAAGATCTTTTAGCATTTCAGTTCCTGCAGCTACTCACATTTTCTCAAATAAGACACAAATATATATATATATATATATATATATATATATATATATATATATATATATATATATATATATATATATATTATACATACACACACAAGTGAAGCAGCCATCTACCAATGTTTTATACTATTACCTAGTTAACTTTGTTAAGTAAACTAACTGTTCAGTGGATTAAAGCTGAATCCGACAAATTTTAATACATTTCCGTAGTACAGCTGCAGATTAAGCATTAAGGAATTAACGCTTCATTCCCATTAAACAGTATGAATACGAAAAGGCGAAAGGATCTGAATTCTTTGCCAGTAAGCTTATTTTTGTCATATTATGTAATGGGATTTTTGTCCTCCTCTCCAGATTCGACTACGAGGCAGCGCCACACTGGGGGCTCCAAAGAACCAGTACGTTTATCAAGAGGTAAAAAATGTATTTTCACTCAGAATTCATTTCAAATTTCAGCACTGATTTCCAAAATTTCTGACAAAAAAACAAAAGGGCAGCAGGACACCCACACCAGCAATTTGCTACATGCAATTGAGAGTAAATTTGCCATCGCCAGTCTAACCTGCACCTCTTTCCACAGCCTTGCCTGCCGATCTATGTTTCTGAACTGAAGCTCGCATTTTCATTGGGGATGGCTGTGCAATTTGGAAGCGGAGTATTTTGGGTGAGTCTTTTTTTTCCCCACAAATGTATATTTTATAGGAACTCACATAGCAAGTAATGCAAAAAGATAGTTGAATTATTGCTTACATGTAATATACGACCGATCCTTGTTATTATAAACGTACAAATAAGCCACTTCCTGTCGTGGTGCAGACGTATTGCATAAGAGTTCTGGTCTTTCAGGCCAGCAGAAAAACCTTTTTGGTAGCCTTAACTGAGCACAACAGCATGCTTGTAACTCCTCTGCTTCCCTTCGCAGTTGGTTCTACTCGTGATGAGCATCAAGCTGATGGGTCAGATAAAAAGAAAACAGGAGTTTATGGCTCTTCTCCAATCAAACAGATATGTACCTGGCGCCTTCTAGTCACCCAGTACGTTTTGATACAGTCTTCAAATTAAATATCAAGTATACCATATTTGAATTTGCACATGTAAACATATAATATTGCGGCTAATTTGTGCTATAGCAAAATATCTTTTTATTTTTGTTAATGCATGTAAATGATATTGAAAAGTAATCTACATGCGGAGAGATCGTTTTACATGACTTCTTTTTTTGCCTCACTGCTGTAAAACATTGTCTTGTAAGATGTGCTGGATATCAACATAGTCAGCACATCTTCAGATGCATTTGTTGGAAATGAATATCTTACCAAGCATTTATCAGCCATCTGTTTTCATTGAGTAGCTGGAGCCAATTCTGCCATTTACAGGAAGTGTTGTTTTATCTGGATTATATTCAGATATTATGTATCTCCATTTACTTCATACCTGCATACATCACTTAGTCTTTGAAAAGACACATATTAATCAAATTGCGTCTATTGTACCACAATTACTCAATGTGTTAAATTTGTCAACCGGACCAACATCTTTCAAAGACATATTTCAATATTCATACTTGTCTTAAACTCACTCATTGGATTTCTAAGCATTAGAGCTACCAATAATCTTTGAACAAATATTAATGTTAATAACCCTTACGAAGCACCTTTCTTAAACAGTGTTTACAAAGTGCTTTAATTGAAATATAATCAATAATTTATTATAGAGCAATGTATTTTCTTGGGTAAATAATCAGGTTGGGCAACAGAATGAGCCACAGCTCTCATTAGGACAACCGAATGTCTTGATGCCTTGTTAATGCACAATGTATATTTAAAACTTCATCACTCCATTCAGTTGTTCTTATGGCACATTTAGTTGGTAAATGAAGCCCACTATGAGGAGAAGGGATTCTGTTCGGTTGCACATTCAGTAGACGTCCAGGAAATCCTCAAACGCTTCCAAAATTTGAATTTCGCGGTATGGAGACGTTTTGGCGAAGCCAGCAGACAGGTTGTGAGAGACTGTTGTGAGAGACTGTTGCAAGAGAGCGCGTCACCGATATTCTCGCAGAGACTCTAGTGTCCCAACTGAAGCCACTCTCACCGAATAAGCCTTTACGCCACATCACTCCTAATATGACTTGCTGCATGAGCTGCCTGCGGTTGAAATGTCTCCTTGACCATTATATTGTCACAATGAATTTCATCTGAAACAGCGGATCCAATGTCTACCTGTGCACTTTAACCATTAATGCCTAATATACAGTATCTTGCTAAATAGGGTGTTTTAATTTCTGTCATACACAATTTGTTTTTCATTTATGGAATGAACGTATGTAATATTTTGTAAATAGCAGAAATAAAATGTGTGACTCTTGTTCCCGTTTTGTTTTTTTTACTTTAGTTTATTCAAGCTGAAATAATAACATAAGTAGTATAAAATGTTGTGGTACGTGTACTCGACTATCTTCATTTCATGCTTTCCATCCATTTTAGAGGGAAATTCATTTAGCCCTCAATAGCCTGTCATCAATCACAGCATTTCATCAATGTAAGCAAGGCACAGTTGACATCAAATTGTGAACTATGGGGACAGAACAAGCTCCTGAGCATTCACAAACCCTTTCTTGGGCAGAGAGAAGGAGTAAGCAGAGTCTGTGAAAGCTTTGTCGGAGAAGACAAGCCATGTTTTTACAAACTTTGAACCCAGAACCGGTTAGATGCAGCCGAAACATCAAATACACTTTATTAATTGCACCTTCCACATCACCTCTATCTCCATCCAGCCCAAACTCACACCGTATCTCAGCAAATACTCTTATCAGGCAATTCCGATGTGTCGATGGAATGGAAAGTGGCAGCGGGCACTGATCCGGATACAGACACACTGAGGTGGCAAAGAACAAAGACACAAAGCGCTGGCACTTTCATCTTGTTTATTGGGGACAAAAAAAAAAGTGTTTCACCCAAAAAGTCTTTGTTTCTTCCATACCATATAAAACTGTACCATAGATCTTTGGAAGCGCTTCAGTAGCTTCTCTCATCCAAATGTGATAAAAGCTTTTAAAATACATTTAAATGAAGTTTGGTCGAATACAGAATATTACAGAAAGCTACACAATCATAAAGAACAGTTACTTATTAAAGCTTTAATACATCCATAATGTAAATATTTCTGTTTGTGCTTTGGTTAAAACCACTGTTGTTTTATCCATCCCATGCAAACTGCCTTTACTAATTTTCATATCTTACAACGCGAGTGATTTGGCTGCTGGCGAGTTCTTGCAAACAAATGTGCTAAATGACAACCGCACACCTCTCTTGTATAGCAGAAGGGTGTGAGCTCTCAGACTTAATATCAGGCTTATGTATACGTGTGCTTATAAAAACGGGCGTGTGTGCCGTTTCTGAGCATTTTCACGGCCCCGAAGTGTTAGCATTCTGACAACATGCACTGCATCTTCAGGGATGACGAGAGAGAACAAAGTAATTTAAAAGTTCATATTGGGGAAAAACACTAAATCATCATGAAACACGTTGCGCCGTTGTACCGATCCCAATCAGGTGTGCTCTACAATGTTTGCCAGAGGAGAGTAGTTGCCCGCTTTGGCCTGTTGACTGTAGACGACCACCGGGACGTCCTCCTTCTTACTCATCTGACACAAGAGGACGATACCCAACACCACCGACAACACCTGGAGGGACACGGGAACAGAGAGGCTGCGTTGATTCCTGCCATGCGCTTAGCGGTGCATTGTTTTGAGAGTGTCGATGGGTCACAAGTAAGAAGGGACATGTGCAAATTGTGGTCACAAATGATCAAATTAACAATATTATTGGTAACACCTGCACTTTTCATTCTTAGCTGGCGGGGTTATGTGATTTTTGTTTTTGCAAAAATGTTATTTTACCCCAGATCTATATTTTGTTATTTTTGTTTACAGTATATCCTTTTTCATATGAAACATTCATAAATAACACTTGTACCAATGTATGACTGAGGGAGTTATAACAATGATTGTTGATTGAGATATTCCAAGATGTTAAGATGATTTATGGAAAATTGTTGGGTCCCGAGTCCCTTATGAAAAAAACTAAAAGCTACTCAATAGACGTTGAGTTGAGATTATTCGTGTGTTGCGCTCTCTGAGATCAATATTGAACTTTGAACTTCCACTTTAGGCCCAAGAAAAGTTATTGAAGTCCACCTCAAATCCGATTTTGTCAAAAGGCGTTATTTATGGTTAACGAAGGCTTTAAAGCTTTGGACAAAAGAGCAAAACGGCGGCTTTGAATTACGGAATAAATGTCATGAAAACCATTACACACCTTGCAGAGAGAGCTGCTGGGTAAACAAAGAACTAGGCATAGTGAAGCTAGAGAAGATACATATGGAGGCAAGTAGACGGGCACAATTATGACAGACCCATATAGACGAAGAATACATACCCACAATAATATGACTCCCAGGAGTATGCCCATTGTAGTGTCTAAGAACACCATCACATGAGCAACCATGTACGGAAGGCATGGCTGAAACAGACGAGCACAACAAACAAATGTGACTTTACAAGAGAGCCTCGCTTCATTTAAAAAAGGGATCAGAAGGCCCAGAAATCCCAGAAACCGGATATAAAAAGAGGTAATCGGATGATTGAAATCCTTATCTATTGCATAGTTGTTATAATATGTTATAATATGACTAGCCTGTGCTAACGTCAGTCATTCCCACCTGAATGGTGTGTGATTGGTAGCTATACAATGTTTTTTTTAATTTTGTTTTGTTTGTTATAGGTATATCATTTTAAAAAGTCGCAAATGCATAAAATGATACAGTCCGTCTGCGGGTATGAACACGCGGTTTGGGTGGTGGGGGTGGAGCTGGCTGTGATGCAGGGGCCGACTGATCACACTGTATAGTATATTCACTTATTGTATAAAAACGGATCTTAAGAAAAGCTTCTTGTTGCATTGCACTCGTAATGCAGATTTCCCAGTGGCAATCGTTTCTACAGTAAGACCAACCTGTGAGTGAAGAAAGGAACAATTTGATTGTTTTCGTTACCTCTTTATAAATCAGGACGTGCCGCTCATCGACCTTGAGCTCAAAGATGCTGCTGTTTGCAGGAGCTGCCACCTAGAAGTGGGAGACGTGAATCAAGGATCACCAGCTATTACACTTCACCCGGAGGCCAGGCAAGTTTACCCGCGTGTCACGCATTTCAGCGACAATGCGATTCACAGCACGACGAGACAAAGTGCGTAAGACGCGAACAACAAAAAGGGCATACAATACATCAATGGGTCCCGATACATAAGGGTTTGGTGTACAAATGAAGTCTTTCACTCTCACACATGGATTAGTGGACTTGTTCGTGCACAGGCATGATTCTGGGATGTTGTAGCCCCAATCCAGGTAGCCCTGATCCAGGCCGCAGCACTGCAGCTGTTAAGACGGAAGCACAGAGCATTACTTCAATGTATGAAATTGAAAGTAAAGTAACTTACACATGCGCACAAGGTTACTTACTTCAGTCTGTAAAAACCTTAAGGCGTCAATGTTACTCTGACTGGCATTACTCAGCGGCAGCATTTCGAGATAATGCACCTTTAGATTCTCATCCTCCTGCATAACAAACGGAAATATAAAAGAAAAAAAGAATATTGAAAAAGTTAAATATGTTTTGCCCTTTTGAGCTCTATAAACACTATATACCAACTATAGGTCTAAAAGACTGGTCGAAAAAAATGACAAAACATGTCAGAGTCAACTTTGTAGTACCTGTGATCGCCGAGCCAGGCCGCCAATGCCAACTGCAATCAAAACCAGACTGCCAAGGATCATTCCAACTACAAACTAGGACACACACATGAACAGACCTGAGCGATCAAGGAGACATCAAGGAGATTCATACTTGTATATTATTACCATATCTATCGACGTTGTAAAGTATACCATACCACTATGAGCGCCCACTTCTTCTTTTTCGAAGCACCATACACACCGAGGAAGACCAGGATCAAAGTAATGATGCAAATACCATATAGGGAATAAATGCTGGGTATCATTATCTCTATCTGTGGAGAGATAAGCACTGTGAGCAAGAGGAAAACACAGAGTCCAACAAGTTTTGGGCCTTCGGCTCCTGAGGTCAATCTTGCTAGTTTCAACACAGACTGCAACTAAATCAGGATATTGTAAATGTCAAGTTGCATAAACATCCACACACAGCAGGATTATTTCAGCACCATTTTGCTCGAGTTTGGAGATCAGTATTTACATGAAGTTCAAACACTATTTACTTGGGAGAACTCACAAGTAGAGCACAATCTCCACTTTCATTTATCTGTATACAATTAATATTCGATAAGGACATTTTTAGATTTGGATGTGTTTCAAAAAGGGAGCCAGAAGTTCCAATGTATTTCTGTACAGTTGAAAGTACTTGCCCATGCCTGCAACTGCATAAGAAATACATCGAATAAAATACAAAAACACTGATTTAAAAGTGCAGTACAAAGACGCTGTTTGCAAAAAGGTCGACGTGTGGTTAAATACGATGTAGGGAATGCGTTCTAGAAGGCTGATGAGTTGTATGAGAACTGCGATGAATATGGGTTACCTCGTCATGATTGTGCAGGTGTCCGTGGCTAAACAGGGTGGCTGCCAGCATCAGGCCACTCAGTATCTGCAACAGCAGGAACACACTCTGTGGTACTTTATTCTTTCAGCATAAAGTTAGCAGAAATGCCAAAGGTCCCTCAATGCAAGCTCATTACTGTGGTTTTGATGGACACGAAACATACTGCAGAGGACAGGTGCTCTTCAACGTATGGTGCAGCCCAAACATGTACACAGTTAAGTTTCCAATGACCAAAGTGACGTCTTCACACAATTCAAAAGCATTAAAGCAGCATGTTGCTCACATGTGTACTTTCCCTTTTAGGTTTTTAATAATTCCATGGGCCCTCTCAGATGTTTTTCATTTAGTTATGTAATCCAATATCTTTAGGATTTGAGGTAGAACTAGAACAAAACAAAAAGACCAAAAATGACCAAACAATGAATCAATATTACAAACATGTTGCACATGTTTGCAGTGAAATGTTTAAAAAAAGAATAATGTAAACTAGCACATTTTGATTTGTCCATAAATCAACTTTCCAATAGATTTTAGCCGCAGTGCTCATGCAACATTCAACATTTAAGGCGGACTAAGACATTACTGGAACAAATTACCCCGAAAAACACTTTCAACCCGCAGACACCGAGAATCCGATCCGACAGCTGCTTTATTTACACTTTTCACCTTCCCAAAACACTTTCCCATGCATGCTTTGATTCGACTGTTTCCGTATTCGTTCTGTAATGTGCGGCTGGCAAAAGTGGAATAAGAAGAACAAAAACGCACACTTACCGCGATCAAAGTTATTGCGCCATAATAACAGCGCTTCAAGCAGACGTTCGCTCTCCCCATGTTGATGCGCTTTGGTCCCCCCGAAGTGTGACGGTCTAAAAGTTATTCCGAGTCCAAACAAACATGTGCATCCAGAGGGGTCCAACGCGGATTGTATTATTGGAAGTTCTCTGCATGTTGCGCAATGTGTCCTGTTTTTTGTTCCATTGGCTTTTTGGAGGAGGAGCCCCCCCCCCTATGGTTTGCTAATAAAAGGCCCTCCCCGTGTGGAGGAGCTATGCGTATGCGTGCGTGCGTGCGTGCGTGCGTGAGTGGAGAGGTTCATTTATAATTCACTTAGTTGTTCCCCCGTACATTTCTCTGTTGACTGCGCTGACTTGATTGTGTGTGTGTGTGTGTGTGTGTGTGTCCGGATGGGGGTCGAGAGAGAGAGAGAGAGAGAGAGAGAGAGAGAGAGAGAGAGAGAGAGAGAGAGAGAGAGAGAGAGAGAGAGAGAGCGTAAACATGACTAATATACCCGAGAAAGACTACCAGTTAAAAACCAGAGAAAGGAAGTGATCAGATAATGAATAAAACGATGGCGAAAGAAAGCCTGCAGCTCAGCCCCTCCCCCCCCCCGCCCATAAAGTACTTTTTTGCGGATGTCTCCGACACAAACAAAGAAACTATAGTAAAAGGCTGCATCACATGACTGCCCATCAGAGACCCCCCCCCCCCCCCCGCCCCTCCCATACACACACACACTGTCCACATCAAAGTTCCCTGAAGTTCCCCCAGAAGAATTTCCTTTGTTGAGGCAGAGTTGAGCTGGGCCTTATGGAGCGTGCAAACATCTGGAGATGGAGATGAACACATCGACTAATACAGACCCCCACATCCGCTCGCGCTCAGAGCTTCGAGGTTTCACTCAACTTCACCAGCACACAACAAAAAATAAAATAAAATCAATTGCTCACACAAATGAGTGCGTGTTGGCACAAAGTCACACATCTGCAAGCCTCTGAATGCAGAGAGAGAGACATTCTTTGCCTCTCTTGGGATGCTGGTGGGCGGAAGGACGCACAGGGACAAAACGTCTCTCATTTATTGGGGGGTTCGAATGTGTGACTGTGTTTACGCGCACGCCGATGAAGTCGTTTCTCAACTTCACTGCTGTGCCCATCTTTCCATGAGTGAATGATGGAGGCATAAATATATCGATCCTAGAACATGAACTTGTTTGGCGTACTGGATACGCCACCTCAGCATTATTACGCAACACAATAACCTCTACATTGATACGCCTCGTTACACAGAAGTATACGTCATACAGAAAAAGAGCAGCACGCGTTTGTGAAACAAGCCTCTGCTTGAAACTCTCCTCAGCAGATGTCATTCCTCCCCCACTCCCGGGGTGACTGATCTAAAGCACCACCAGTATTAGCAATATGCCTCGGTATACAATCATTGTGCAGTTTGGTCACCGGGTCCAGGGTTTGCAGGAAATTGTGTAATTGTGACTGGAACTGGAACCGAAAGCTCGTTGTCAACAAAAGCATTCGCGAAAGTCGCCTTTTCGCAACTGTCTCTGGCTGCGTTTTTTTTCTTTTCTTTTTTCCTTGTTGCGGATGACCTATTGCATTCCTCGGTCCTCCCCACAGCTGGGCAAAAAGTGTGTGTTTGCCTTGGAGAACGTTGTGTGCTCAAAATCAGCATACTTGCGCATATAGTCTGTGATCACCGCAGTCTAACTTAACGTTAAGACAGTATAAGATGTTCATGTAAAAGACCAACCTCAGATACATAAACTGTTTTTTTTTTCAAACCAACGGCCAGCTAATGTAAATCAGGGTTTTTCTGTATACAATTTGTAGGAATCATAATACAGATTCTGGAGTGAAGTGTTTGTTCTGTTACCTGCGGCATCAATTTACGTTCTGGTTTATACGGCAAACTAAGATGATCAGATATCAATACAGCATGGCACAGCATTCTCAAGCTATTTACAAAAACAACTGAATCTAAAACAACATATTACGATGTATGCGACCAAACAATGAAATATATAAAATATCCAGCGTACAACCCAGTGCCACAACCACCCACTGGGAGAATACAGTCTCTCCTCTCTTTCATCTTCATGGCACACTCAGAGTTAATGTAAAAATGTTGATGTTACAGTGATATAAGAGCATTAACGGATAAAGAATGGGATTTTTCTCATATGTTATATGGTGATAGCCCACATTCATATATTTATATATTTACAGTTATTATTATTATTATTTACATTATCACTATAATTTCGTTACTAATACAAATAGCTAGATTTGATTATTTTAGACTAAATTAGGTTATTCTTCTTCTCATCACAATCATTGCTCCAAAAATATATATTTATAAATAAATATAACGTTATTTCCACTTGCACACACAAGCCCATTAAAATCGCGCCGGTCCCTTTAAGAAAGGTCACATGAAAGTCACGTGACGCGGAAGTAAACCGAATCCTTTCAGCGTTGTTGTGTTTACATCAACAGCTCCCCGTCCACACACCGCGTGGAGGTCCGTGGAGTAAACAAACAGTGAAGTCCTTGCTTTTCCTTCTCAGTGAACGGGCATTCCCGCTCCGAATAGAGGCATGTGTTTCGGTTCCTTTGTTATAGCGCGTACTGCTCTCTGTCAGCCAAGTGGGGGTAGGATTCTCGCGTCAGATACGCATCTTACTGTAAATATACGCCTTATTTGGCACCAATAACCTGGGGCATAAGCAGAAGTAAAGCACCTGTCGTCTTTCTAAACCTCCTGACATTATTTTTTAAGGTGTGCCCCGTCTCCAGCTGCTCTTTGAACCGTATTTCCAGTGCGGTCTAATGTATTTATCGCATGAGCTAATGCTATATATCTTCTTGCCTGTCTGATTTCATCTATATGTTTACATATTACGTTTAAATCGAGTCAATATATCTTCTTAGATTTAAGTAAAATGCATGAAATGCATGAATTGTGCCAAATAAATACACATGCGTTGTTTTTGTCTCCAGTGACATCTGACACATTTTGTTAAAATTGTGTTCTCTCATTGCAGAAACGGGAGTTAGTGAAACATCTGCAGTGTTTGGATGAATTGACCATGAAGCAGGACAGTGATGCTGTGAACATCCCTGTGTGCTTCATATCAAACCATGAAGGTTTCCTCGGAAGCATCAAAAACTTTATTAAAGACTTCGTGGTGACTGAGATAGACGTCACCGGGCGACGCGTTAACACGGCAGCACCCGACTGCGCCTCCCCGGATAGAAGCGAGGAAACCAGCGCAGAATGTAAGTGGAGAAATCATTCCTCGGTCTCACAGGACACCAACGTGGCCGCTGATTGCGGGCTGGACGTCACCATACCGAGTCCGGGCAGTTTCGATCTGAGTGTCATTTTAGGCCAGTCGGTCAGCGAGGAGCTGGAGCAGTTTGTGTTGACTCTGAAAGAAAAGCCGACCAAGCAGGAGCTGTCTCTCGGCTCCTTCGCCGACAAACACCACAGAGCTAACGTGCACCGGGCCGTCAGACACCGCTTCCCCTTCCTCATGACTGTCACTATTCAGCCTGAGATTCGGGTGAGGGAGGACCCAGACTACAGAGAGCTCTCCCATTTGGTCACAGAGGACGAGGCAGAGGACTTCTTCCGGTTCATCGACGCCAAAGTGCGAGGCTCGTCCTACACGTTTGGACCCGATGACGACAAGGAGCACCGCACGGCCGTCCACCACTTCCTCAGCCGACGGTTCGGCAAACTGGTGGAGACCAAGAGCTTCACCGACCAGGGGACGACGGCGATCTCAGTCCGGCTGAGGGAGCAGGGGAGGCCGAAGAAGAGAACCGCAGAGGAACGTAAAGAAGAAGACGTTTACACTGGTAAGGGGTAGAAGTTACTGGCCAAGTTTTGGCCAAGCAACAGTTCTGAACTCAAAGATATTTAAAATACTTACCTACAAATATTCACATTTAGGAAGCTGGCATTCAGACTTGGACGATGACAATCGCACCACAAAACATGTGCTGTGTTCTATCACCCTTATAGTTTAGACTCTAAACGCATGTCAGTTGTCATTTTCTTGATGTTTGTAAGATAGGATGATGCCTGTTTTGACCACACACGGGGAAATAACATGTTTGCAGCAGTAGTCAGAAGCAGGTAAAATAAATGGTGAATAAAAATGATCCGGGAAGAAATGAGAACTATAAACACTCAGCAGTGTGTGTGTGTGTGTGTGTGTGTTTCCTCTCTTTCAGCCTTCACTTTGCGTAAGGAGAACCTGGAGACTCTGGAGGCCATCAGCTACATGGCAGCTGCTCTTGGGGTGCTGCCATCAGATTTCACTTACGCTGGGATCAAGGATAAGAGAGCCATCACCTACCAGTCCATGGTGGTCAAGAAGGTCTCAACTCAAAGGTGCTTTGTCACGACTATTGGTTTGGGACTCATTCTTCCCTTTGTACTCTGATGACTCCAAATGAATGCAGAAGAATCTACAACTTATTCTATGGATTACCAGGTTGAAAGAGAAGACGGCAGAGTTCGAGAAGAGAGGGATGCGTCTGTCGCAGGTCCGCTCCGTCGGGGAGCCTCTCCGGCTAGGGCGACTGCAGGGGAATCACTTTGACCTGGTGGTCCGCGACCTGAGACCACAAGGGGCCGCCGACGGCCACTCCTTCGCCGGCGCGGACTCACACGCTCGCCTGGCCGCCCTGGTAAACGAAGCGCTGGAGAATGTCAAGGTATATTCAAGTTCATCCCCAATTCATTACCGATTATTGTGGAGAGCGCGATGTCAGAACAATGTATCCTTAAAACGGTAGATAGTCACAGGCTCGCCGTTACATTTTAATCGCAAACTAAATTTCTTTTGATATTCCTATTAAAGGTGGTGATAGGTCTGGTGATATTGTATGTTTTTCTCATTTCATAAAAACACCACAATCGTTTTCCGTGGATATCTCATGTGTAACATAGAGCTCAACTATATTACCAGCACATCAATCAGTGTTGTACTGGCTGATGTTTTACCCCATTATGATGAAAATGGTCATTAAAGTTTGTTTTGCGCCAATCACATACCCTGCTTCTATATCCTTACTAAATCACCACATTAATATTCATCCCCAGCTTAAAATAGTACCCAATAAATGCACCATTTCTTCCCATTTCAATTATATTTGGTGAAAAAACTACAGTTTAAAGAGACAGGCATGCAATTTATAGATAATGAGTGAAATACCAGCCGTATGCTTAAATGATGCTGGTTGTTTCCATACGACTCCTGCTGTTTTTTCATTTTATTTAATTGTTTAAATAAGCCACTATACAAGTTGTGCTGCTCTTTGCAGGCCAGAGGTTTTGTCAACTACTACGGACCACAGAGGTTTGGCAGCGTGAAGAGCGTTCAGTCCGACCGCGTAGGCCTGGCTTTACTCAAAGAGGACATGGTAGGTGTACAGACATTGTCTGCGTTATGCCACGAAATGACACCCTGAAACATTGCCAGGAAGACGTTTCAAATGTATTCCCCAACGGACTGCACAGTACAGATTTGTTAGTGTATGTTGTGATACGTGTGTGTGTGTGTGTGTGTGTGTGTGTGTGTGTGTTAGGTGAGTGCTGTGCGTCTCTTCTTCACTCCAGATGACGGCAATGATCCTCAAAACTACGCTAAGAGACACTTCCTCCAAACAGGTGACTGGTAGCACAACACGGATTCCTTTGGTTTCATGTTACCTGGAAATAACCAAGTTGATTAGCATGTTTCAAATAATAACTATGCAGATCCTCTTAGTTATTCAACTAAATTAGTTTTTTTAATATCTTTTCTATTTGTAGTGAATTAATCCTGTTTCTGACAGGTACCATAAATCCTGTTTTGGTTTACAAAGACATTGTAGATTAGCTTAATGTGAGTCCTTTTTTTTAGCAGAATTGAACATGCTTCCTCCTCCTCCTCCTCCTCCTCCTCTTCTTCTTCTCTCTCGCTTCTCCACAACCAGACAACGCCAAGGAGTCTTTGGCGCTGATGCCGTTGTCGAAAGCCAGAGAGCGACTGATGCTTCGGGCCCTGAACCGCTACGGTACGGGTCCGGATGGTTGTACCCAAGCCTGGCTCAGCTTGCCCCACAGCATGAGAGTCTTCTACCCGCACGCCTACTGTAGCAGGTCAGCTGCCAGCAAAAAACAAACAAACACTATTCCTGTTTTTAGTTGAAAGCCATATTGTAGATTTGTGATTATTGATGCAGAAATTGGCAGATTAATTTAAAAAGGGTAACGTGTGCATCTCGAGTATTGCCTTTACTTTGAGATTCAAAAATAGGTCTAACCCAGCGCCCTGTGCTTTTATCTCTGAATGCATTAATGGGTTCCGCCTTCTTTTTATACGTTTGTGGTTGTCAGAGTGTGGAACGAGGCAGTGGCCCACCGGCTGACGTCTCTGGGCCACAGCGCCAGACGAGGAGACCTGGTGTGGAGGCGGGAAGACACTGGAGAAAACAGCTCAGCTCAGGTGAGAGAGGGCGGTTCGTTTGTTGGGACGGTATTGAAAGATGACCTAATAACCGAGATGCAATGCCGACATACAGTGAGGAGAACAAGTATTTGATACGCTGCCAATTTTGCAGGTGTTACCACATACAAAGCATGTAGGAGTCTGTAATATGAATTTCTGGATTTGTTTTAGATTCCGTCACTCACAGTTGAAGAGTTCCTATGATAAAAATGACAGACTCCTACGTGCTTTGAAAGTGGGAAGATCGGCAGTGTATCAAATACTTGTTCTCCCTGCTCTAGTTGTGTTAAACTGTTTTGAGTTGTACGATGAATCCAACATGCTCTGAGAATACCAATCTTTCCTCCTCTTGATTTTCCAGATCCACGTGGTGACGGATCAAGAGGAACACGAGGGAGTGTACACACTGGGACATGTATGTCGTTTAGTGAAATGCATGCCCTTTAAATGCAACTGTTAGTTTCTTAAAAAACTTTTCTCACCAGCGTTACCGCTGTGTTTGTCTGATCCCGTCAGGTGTTACTGCCGATGCTGGGAAACACTGTGAAGTATCCCGAAAACGCCATGGCGACTTGGTTCCAGGAGAGACTGGCCAGAGACGGACTGGACGAGTGTCGCTTCAGAGTCGGCGGCCTCAAACTTAATCTGCCCGGCTGCTACCGCCCCCTGCTGGCCTCGCCCAGCAATCTCAGCTACCAGCTGCAGAGAGCCGCCTGTGGGGAGGCAGGAGGAGGAGGAGGAGGAGGAGGAGGAGAGGTGACGGGAAGCAGCAGTAGAAATAGTGACAGGCGGCAGAATGGCAGTGCAGCAGAAGGAAAGCGGGACTCGCTCACTCTCACCTTAAACTTTGACCTCGACTCCTCCTGCTATGCTACTATCTGCCTCAGAGAGATCATGAAGTGTGACCTCTAGAGGTCTGGGGACATTGCTCCTGTTTGTATGTCTCTGTGCGTCGCAGGAAAGAATGCTTTGTTTTGTTTTTAGTTTTGTAACGCATCGCTGTGTGATACATTATTAGTAGGCTCTCGATTTGTTGTTGGTGTATTGAGCATACAACTTTGTTTATGAATTGGAAAACTACATAAAGTGCAAGTGGTAAAGAAATGAACAAATCTAAATGTCAAACCGCGTAAACAGTGTTAATGTTTTGTGCCATGAATAAAACTTTTAGAAATAATGAAAAAAGCTGCACTTTTATTTAGAAATGTTCATGTTTTTCAACTCAACGATCTCCTCCACATTTGGATGTATATTATTCATGAAAATCGATCATTAAATAACATACATGTTCTCCAGGATAACACAATATATTCATGAGCAAAAGTAACCATAATTACAATCTTATATCCTCTTGCTATTTAGAGAAGGATCAGTCTCAGTGATAAACCTAGCCAATCATTGGAAAAAATAAAATATTGAATGCGGTTCCTTTGGCTTTTTTCCTGAAAGTGGTTCACTACAATTCACTATTATTCTCCTGCGATAATAATTTCCTTTATGCATTGCATTGTGGGACGACGGAGTGCATCCATCAGCACTCAATGACTCGGTTGAATTACATTAATTTGATTATTCTTCAGTGAATCCTGCAGCAGTGGTTCTACCTTATAAATACTATAATGTGATAGTATGAGTACTTTCAGTGTTATTAACTCAATAACTATACATAATCTCACTGCATACTAACAATTACATGTCACTTTTATTATAGAGCTGAGATGCTTTCCATTAGTCATTATCTTAGCTTTGGATAAAAGCGTCCGCTAAATGACATGTAATGTAGTCATGATCTTTGGGTACTGTACTTACCACTAACCACCACCAGGGGGTAACATCATACAAGCACAGTGCTTGGATAATTAATAATTAAGCCCTTTTTTTTTTTTTCTTTATATTTTTCAACAAAATAACCCTCATCCGTGATGTCGTGATACTTGCTTCCTGCGATGAGAGAAAACGGAACCTACACCGCGTGACTGAAAGGGTAATGATGTTAATGAGGACGTCACGCTGAAAAACTGGGACCAAATCCATCCTGGCAGTTTGTGTGATTCACTCTCACAAAACTTGGGAAAAAAACAAACAGGCTCTGCACCAGCAGGAGAGCCATTTCAGAACCAATATAAAATATAATGAAGCATAAAACTCTGGTGTAATTACGGTGCTGAGGGGCAACATCCAGTCTGTATTACCATGGAGCCACATCGGCCTCCTGTGACTCATTTATGCAATTTCGATGAGAATGTTCAAAGAAAGAAGCACACAAATCCTTGTGATTAACCTACATTGGCCATAACTCCGGGCTACATTTTGTAAAACTGGTTAGAAGAAGCAGCGTGGAAAGTGTATATATGGATGTTTTAGATGGCGGTGGGTTCTGACATGCAGCCTGTCATCGACCCGTAGACCTGTTTGATAAAGTGTCCGCCTGTGAGCTAAACTGTCTGCCAGGGAGACACATTAGCAGTAATGACTTTGTTCACCGTTTGGGGAGTTTTATTTCAAAAAGACCCGCAATCCACCGGAGAGGAGAGGGGATAATTGAAATCCTCGCAGTAACACTCAATGACATAATATTAAGCATGTTTTTTTCCCCCATTGGAGTCAAACTTCATCTCGACAGATCTTCTTACGCTAATGAAGTCATCCTGATTTTAAAAACAGTTCTCGCGTATCAACATGTGTCAAACTCTCTTGATCAAATAGGAAATAATTTCATGTACACTGGAGTTGTTTTGTTTGCCAGAATGAATCAAACCAACAATCACCTGACTCACTCTCCTCTAGATGTCCCATCCACACAGGTTCCTGAAGGAACTACGGTTCCTAAGGTATCCACTCAAACACTTTGGTTTATATTTCTGTTTTGCACAGAAGTCAGACAAAAGTAATACTCAAGTGAAATTATGGAATTTAAAAATCTTTGTCTGCTTTCATCGTTTCGTGTGAGGAGTTTCTTCTTTTTTTGATGATAGTAGTCAAAAACTACAACATGACCCAAGTATCAAATGACTGTTTTAGATCTAATAAAACATTAGGCAGTAAACTCGCGGACAGCGTCCCTCTCTTTGAATAGCTTGAATCATTCTCCTGCATACAACTGCCTATGATCCATCACCGAATATATACTTTACTGGCACACTCTGCAATTACAATAAAATATATTGCACCGTGTTTTTGTTGCAAAGGCCCAATGCAGTTACAGTTTAAAAGCATAATAGAGAACAGGACTTTTTCTTGCCCTGCCATGTTTTTTCTCCACTCAAACAGAGATGGATAAGGGACGTTTCCCCTTCCTCGGGCTCGATCCCGTTCCAGCCGGCTGCAGACAAATGTTGACCCACTTCAGCGGCAAAGATGACAACTTTACTATCCGTCTCGCTTAGTTGAAAAGCAGAGCAAAGTCAAGGGTTATGAAAGACATTTACCATGGACGTACAGTGATGTATTTCTCCTCGCAAGGAGAGATGGAGATGGAGAAGGAGGAGGAGGAAGCCGGAGGTTATGAAAGACACAGAGCAGTAGGGCTCTCTCTGGCCAAGTTTCTTTTTTGCAGCCCTAAATGCCTTAAGTGTCTTTTACTGAATCAGCTTTTCAACACACACACACACACACACACACACAGTGAGAAAGTTCCTCGTTCATAAGGCAAACAAACATGGCAGCCCTATTTGACCTGCCCGAGCTGTCTGTTCTCCAGCTAGTTCTTGAGCAGGTTGGCCTTGTTTTCACTGGAGCAGCCGTCGGTACGTGACCACGCGTGTGGGAATTCTGTGTTTGTGAGCTTGTCTGTGCCTGCAAAAGAGAAAGCAAAAGAAAAGTGTGTGTGTTTCTTTTGGGGCCCTGTCAACCCGCAGGAGGATTGTCCAGACGTGGCAGCCTGTGCAGACACGGCGGCTGCGCGCATGCAGGTCATAGGTGGCTGGATGGAAGCATCGGCATTGCTGCCGTTACCACGTCAAAATACTAAATACATTTGGACTATTCTCATCTGAAAAAAACAACACCCCCCCTGCTGTTTTGAACTTATCTTTCGCAGAATGTTTCTCCTTTTATGCCGCCGCATTAATGTGAATACCCTCTGTTTAGTTTAGTGTTTTCTTTAGAGCTCCCACAGTTCCATTGCTGGCATTTATTTAAAGGATTTATCTAAGCGAAGCTCTTGAGTTGTTTGTGAGGATTGAAGCCAACAAGGGTGCAACTGTAGGAAGGGAAAGATCAAAACCAGCTGTTTGCAGCGCACCAAATTGTAACTCATATCATCCCTTATTTTCATTGAAGATGTGATAAGGAGACAAAGTAAAGCTCATGCTCTTTTAAGCACGGGGGAGTGCTGTTCAGCAGTGAAACCACTGAGAGCTCCGTGCTGCCCAGCGGCTGCACCCTCACCTATTTAGAATACACTCGGTGTCCCACATGTGAGAGGCCCGCATGTGGAAAATACTCTGACCTGATAACTGCAGCAGAGCTATTGACAAGCGGAAAGAGGGGGAGAAAAAGAAGACGAAAAAAAATCACACGACTGTGTCAAATGAGATTGATTAATGGATAAAAAGTAATGCTGCGTGTGCTTTGCCAGCATCACTGGGTCCTGCATATGTAGAGCAGCTGGAGCCATTGGACAAAAAAGACATTGTGGGAAAGTTGCAAGAAACATTCAGGTGACACAAAATCAAGTACATTTGATGCTCAGTTAGTGAAGGAAACCATAACAGCACAATTGACATGTCAATGATAACTTACAGCAACTGTGTCACAATGGATGTTGCTTTGAAAAATGTTGAACTTAGAAGCAAATGAGGAACATCCAAGGTGGATTCTACCAATAGCTGGAAAATAGCATGTCTGGCAATGAAGTAGCGATCCAAAACAGATTTTTTTTTTGTAATAAAACAAATGAAAAGCTATAAAACATCTGGCTGCAAAATGTATGTATCGGACCACTCACTTTGTCCAGCTGGTGAAAAACGTAATTTCCTGCCCTGTTTGTGACCCAAACGAACAACCCAACTGTTTAACATACTGAAGCAGAACACCAATCGGTGTAAACTACTTGCACATGAGCAATAAATGGGTTACTTGCAACAACTGGGAATATTTCTCACACTGTAAAAGTTAAGGGGGGAAAAAAACTGTTAAAGCTCGGCCCGGGTACAGTGAGCCCTCTGTGCCAGAGTGGAAGAATCTGTTGACTGGTTGCAAAGCACAGGGAGGTGAAGGAAGGCTCATTATTTTTAATGGCATCCCTCCACTGGTTCAGAGAGAGAGAGAGAGAGAGAGAGAGAGAGAGACAGTCAATATTCAGTTAAAAGGCGTAAAAGGCAACAGTTTTAAAAAGCTTAACAGAGGGAAAGAGCGAGCCTGGATGTCATTTAATACAATGTATGTTGTTTGTTTACTCTGTACACAAACAGTAATGTGAAGACGACAAGTGGCCGCCTCAAGGTGACAGCAAGAGTCCGGGACGTTGCACCCCGGTTCAAAAACTTTTGTGCAAAGAAAAATCTCCCTATTGCGTCACAATTCCACTGCTGAAGACGAATTTTCCCAAACTAACTTAACAGGTGTAACCTGTCAGCGGGCTAGTGTGTGTTTGTGTCTTCTCGCTGACTTTGTATGCACACACACCACTTATTAAATCCTCCTCTGACTGAACCTGCATATTTTCTGATACTCGACTTCCAACACTGTGTTTTTGGACACGGTGGCTCTACCCAGTTTCCATTCGTTATGCTGAAGTCAGCTGACTGTGTCCCGGTTCCCGCCTCAGTGTTTAGCACGGCCATCAGTTGTGTGTCTAAAAATATTAAACAGACAAATGTTGCCAATGGGAGTTTTTAAACGCACACACACACACACACACAGACACACACAAAGGCCTCGAGAGCCCACATGGCTGGAGTCTGCTCTCCTGTATTCTTTCTTCCCAACATCAATCAGTGTCTCCGCGGTGTTGCCGGTTCGCAGGCGACTGCAGTCCTGTAATTACATTGTTGACTAAATCCCAGCTGTGTGTGTGTGCATTTGCAAAACATGTCCCTGTGTGCGTATGTGTTCATACAGAGATCGGAATGAAAATGGGAGGCAGGCCACTTTTGAGCAGCTGCACCGGTGCGTCAGTGGGATTCGATGCCCGAGGAAGAGAGAGAGAGAGAGAGAGAGAGAGAGAGAGAGAGAGAGAGAGG